TAGGTGCATTGTTGACAAAATCAGGATGCCTTCTAAGTAAGTGCATGGAAACTGGGAATTATTATCAGAAGTGCAAATAAAAGAAATCTGCTTCAACACACGGAAAATTGATGTGTAGTTTCTTATAGAAGTACTTTGTGTATTATCGGTGAAACAGTTAAAATTTAATCTGAGTAGGGGAAATGTAATTCAGAAATTGACTTGGTCTGCAAACTCGATTACATACAGAAGATATATCTTTGTGTCATTATTTGTAAAATTATGAGTTGTTGCTGGCAAGATGCATCAGCTTTTAAACAAATATGCAATTATTTTTTTAAGTTCATTCATAAGGGTTAAAGGCTATACATGAACTAGTTGTGATGACAGCAAGATATCATTTATACAGGAACATGTACATATCTCGAAGGTGTGATTAGCAATCCATACAGCTGACTTCTTTAGCAATAAATGTTTTAACTTCAAATATTCATATACAATGGCACTGATATTTCAGTGTATAATGATCAATGTATTTAAGAACATGCTGAACAGGGTTTAACTTAATGTAACAAAGTCTAGTAGGTTAGTGCCATTGAAACTTTTCTGAACTGAGATATGACCAGATGAAAAAAAAAATATAGAACAATCAATAAGTGTTTAGAAAATTAATAATCTGAACGAAATTTTGTTCTAAAACTTATGTGTATTCTTGATCTGCACATGCCATCCTGTTAAAAGTGACTTCTTCTAGTTGCAGTTAGAAGTATCTGACACTTTGTGGTGTAGGTGATAACATTGTTTATCAAGCAAGTGAGGGTCTGCCAATTATAACATGGATAATTAAAAAACATGTAATCCTCCGTTTTCACTTACTTGATGGTTTGGAGATTTAACATGCACTATCCAACATAATGCATATTTTGCACACAGGTAAATTGTTATAGGTTCCAGACTTCTGTGCTGACACCTTCAAAGTGATTAAGTAGCCATGTTATTAAATGTCTTCCTTGAGTTCTTCAGGTGGTATTTGTAATAAAAACATGAAAAAAACACAAAATACCACAGTCAACATCAAACACTTTCCACGTCTTCAATTGTGTGGCATTAACTGCTGAATCAGCTGAAAGTAACTGCTCTCCAAACACAGAGTTAACTGCTTATATAAACACAATCAGACATGGGAGATTAGAGGGTGTGAAGTTATCCAGGGCAGTAAGCATATTGTCTCAGGGTATTCAGCCACAATTTAGTGACAGGCCACAATGAGCTGTAACTCCACTGTGGAATAGCCCCCCCTCAGGCTCTGTATCAACATGGCCTGGCGAACTGTTACATAATCTATTACCCTCCTCATTAATTACTGGCTGCCTATCCCCAGCTAATCTGGAGGGACAGTGGGACATCTTTCAGTTGCCAACTGTAGAGAATCAGGACTAGTTAGGCCCTTCAGTCCATGCAGTAGGGTGCAAGTGTCACTCTATGGTATATTACATGTGAAAGTTTGGGATACTTGCAAGCACTGTTGTACCATTGGACGCACAACTCCTGAATCATTTCACAAGGTAGGGTTATGGTGTTGTTGACAGAAACTCTTTAAATGTGTGCTATCAAGCTATATGTTTATTTTAAAAAAAAAGATGAAACTTAAAAAATCTGTTCAGTCAAGAAACTGATCATAAGATATAATTACTGACCTAAATGAAAGATGTTAAACCATCAAGAAACATGTTCTTGTTGAAGTCTTGAAGTCCATGTGAAGCCATGGCATACTTCCTGGAGTCCGCTACAATGTTAGGAGGGCTGTCATGATGTACAGTTAATATGCTGTGTGTTTCTTGACTTCGACCAGTGGTCCTAATTATGTATGGATATTGCACATTTAAAACATGTCCTTTTCCTTGAACAGCCTGTGAGTGCTTAATACTTGATATAGAAACTGACTGACTGCCGAGTGACAGCGGTACCTGTGTGATATGCCAGTATGCACTCAAATACGCATCGCTGAAATTTAACGAGTAGTTATTGTCAGAGTGGATATTTGGTAGTATATTTGTGATATTTAAAAAAACCCGCTGATATAAAATAGATTTTGGTTGTAATTTAAGTCCAATTACCAGATGATATTTGATGAGGCATGGCCTGTAGATATGCAAGCAATGCTGTTATGGTTTAACAAATTACAGCGTACATTATAGTTTGTACCTGTTTTTAGTGCAACCCAGATAAGTAATAACACATTGCTAGTGGAATGCATCATCATGTATTCTTTCATTTGCAGAATTACAATAAAAATGGGTCATGTATAACTTCCCCTTGCATGACACCAACCATGGAGCCGCATGAAATATAGGCCCATTGATTGCTCAGTGATACAGTTAATGAGAACAAATACTGTGTATCACATGTCTGTATGGGTGAGTTAGATGAGGTGCCTGTGTCAGACAGGGAGGAAGGTGTGACACACAACATGGTTGTTGGCGGAGACAGTTACAGTAAATCACACTTAATTTGTCTAAGATGCGTATTTGGTTCGCTGAACAGAAATGAGCTTTTGTGAAAGAAAGCTGTGATATAAATTTGCATGAATTTACTTATGACAAAGGGTTAAAACTATATGTTATGACATGCTTATTTATGTTGACATCCCTGAAGGAAAATACTAAGTAAAATAATGTACTTAATAATGAATAGTTAAATAATTAGTGTAATAGATTATTTTATAATACATGGTCAAATTTATGTGTAAAAATTACGAAGGATTATTGGTGATTTGCTTGTATGTGTCCCTAAAAGAAAACTGTGAAATTGTCCAGCAACTCACAGCTCTGCGCACACGTATGTAAAAGATAGTAAGTTGGGTGGACTAGGAAACCATGCGTACTACGAGTCCTTAATGGGGATGTGATTCATAAATGATGGATGTTAAAGTGGCAATATAAAACATTCTTTTGTAAGCACAACCTAAATTGTACCAAATACGAGATGTAGGGCCTGTTTCGACTTGTTGGTGATACAGTTTCTGGGTACACAAGCAGGTGTGTGCCTCACGCTGCAGGAAGCCCCTCACTGTCTATCTGTAATGATACGAGATCATTGTCGAGTGGCATCCCACCGAAGCAACAGGTCTGTGCATTTGTAGTTGACGAGGAGTTCAGATTATCTTGTTTAAGCAGGCTCCGGCTACTTGATTTTATCAGCTACAAATAAGGATCAAAGTTGTATTAAATCGTCACTGCTGTCATTCCGACTGGTTTTGAAACAGGTAATTTTCAGATGATTGATGTTTTGTTATTTTTCTATAATAGCTGGGTAGTATTACCCCACAATATTTTTTTGTGCAATATATACTGAAGTTAGGGATTGTGGCAAGTTTGTAGTGATTATTTTGCACATCTCCAAATATTCATGATCATTTCTGAACTTTTTTTCTTTTTAGTGCTTAGAAAGTCAGCACTGCATGACAGTGGGATGTTACATTCTTGCAATCTGCTAACAATGAGAGGTAACAATGCTGTCTGTCTCCAGCAACAGTGTCTGTGTGTGTGGGTCACATTGACTTGCCTGCCTGCCAGCCTGATGGCTGTGAGAAGGGTCTTTAAAAGTTTGACCCAGTTTTCATCACAGGCATGTTGTCCTCAGACAGCAACCTAAGATGTTTCTTAAGTTACGACCCTGTTAAACAGATTAAATTTAGTCCAGATTATATATAATTTCCTGTTTCAGTCACAACCGATGAAGCAGGATAACTCGTAGTCATACCATTGATTGGGCCTGTTTCTATAGCAACATTTTGTACTGATGCCACATGTAAATTTGTCACTCAGGCAATGAATTGTCATTTCTCTCCCAATTGTGCCACAGCTGTATCAAGTTCGGGAAATGAATGAGTTATAATACGACCATATTACGTCAAAAAAGAGCGCTACTGAGCAACTTTTGGACTGGAATTGACGCTATAAAAATGTTTTCATGACGATGATGAAAATGACCAGAAAGTATATTTTAAAATAGTTTTAGTCTGGCTGAAGTAAGTAGCTATAAAGAGGTCTAACATGTATTTTGTTAGTTTGCTGAAGTGCGACAGAGCGTACCTCCCAGTATGCCAGGCATCTCATCCAGAAGGGTGGCATCTGCTAAGGGAGCATATTTGTGTAAGGGTCGTCACCATGGAGATGGAGCACACAGCTCCATTGTGAGCCAGGTGAAAGACTCATCCCTCTTCAACAGCAGGTGCCCTGTAGATTGTATAGGTCTGTCCCTTGACACAGTAGCTGGTCAGCCATGCTGGGGATCTACTGTCACTTTCATGGACACTGAAGCTTAAGGAGGTGTGACATGTTGCATATTGTTACTATAAATCACTGATATGCCAGGGTCTGCTTTCATGGGTTCACAAGCACAGGAATATTTGGAATTGTCTTGAAAATGGTCAGTAATTTTGGCAATAAGACTGAACAGCTTGACAGAACAGGATTAACAAAATGCAATGTCCAGCATGGAGAACACTTCTAATTTGCTCGTTTTTTTCATGCTGGAAATGTTTGTGCCAAGGACTAGCTCATCCGACAAGTTGGCCTGCCCAGCTTGGTATTGTTATTGGTATTACATTTAATTAATAGTATAGCAACTGTTATTAGACTGAACAAAGTATTACTAAATTTAGGCTTCAGGTTAGTGGATGAATAGGTTGAAATATTAGTACCCTCAGCTGATCACATATTGCTGTTGCCTAAGGGATTTTAATTCAGGATATGCTAGTTTCAAGAAATGGCAATGGGTTTTCATTAGGCTATTGCTTGACCAGTTATTGTTTAAATAGAATTGGGTGTGAATGTTAGTATTTTTGGGAGGGACTAATGGCACATGATCTTTCTGTTAATGTGCCACAACAGTCTTTTCTGAATTTGAGGACATGGCAAATAGGAGAATCTAGTAAATTAGTTCAATCTGAGCAAAGTAAAAAGAACATGAAATCTTTTTCATTCCATGAGGTGAAAGTTGCTTCTTGTTTGTTACAGGCCAGAAGAGGTGACAGCGTGACATCATGGCTCCCAGCAAGAGCGCTGATGAGAGTGATGCCTGCATGAGGCAGAGACTTGTCAACAGTTTGAGCCAAAGTTTCCCTGGCAGTGCCCTATCTAAAGCATTACAGTGTTTGACAGACTCCGAGGATGAGATGAAGGCTGATCCACTTAGCAGTAGTTGTTTCGCAGAGCTGCGTACAGAAAAACTGGATGTGGAGGAGGATGATGAGTTGACAAGCTTGTCGTGGTTACAGGACAGTGATTTGTTGAAGAATATAAACGCTGGGGAGGGGGCGGATGAGGTGGATGGACAGAAGGAAAATGGGGAAGCAGGCAAGTTGACGCCGGGATTCTCACAACCTCATCCTCCACATGTTCCGTACAATCCTCAAAAACATATAAACAGCAAACCGCCATATTCATTCAGTTGTTTGATTTTCATGGCAATCGAGGACTCACCGATCAAGAGGCTCCCTGTGAAGGATATTTACAATTGGATACTTACGCATTTTCCGTACTTCCAAAATGCTCCAACTGGTTGGAAGAACTCTGTGCGGCATAACTTGTCTCTTAACAAATGCTTTAAAAAGGTGGAAAAGGATAAGGGCCAGGTAAGTGTTACTGCCATTTTTGTATATTAAAAGTACATGACATAGATTTAATAGGTAACAGAAGGACAGCACCATATGACTGGCATAATGGTATACCACAGACTGCCGTTTGAAATATTTGTGTATTGGGTACAAAAAAGGTTTTCTTCTCATTTGCTTCCTTGACCTAGAATCAGTCGTTCACATAAAAGTGGGCATCAAACTTGTGGAAAGTGATTTTTCTGTAACAACTACAATACAGTGTGCCAATACACAGGCCTAGAAACAGGTGACATTTTCTTTCCCAGAACATGGAGTCAGTTGCTTACTTTCTCAGTGTGCAGGAGGAATTCAGTCTCCACGTCCAGTCAATCAGTCAGTCAGTGTCCGGACCAAGTCAATCAGTCAGTTAGTCTCCACGTCCAGTCAATCGTTCATTGCAGTTTCCACGTCCAGTCAATCATTCATTACAGTCTCCACACCCAGTCAATCATTCATTGCAGTCTCCACTCCCAGTCAGTCAATCATTCAGTCAGTCTCCACACCCAGTCAATCATTCATTGCAGTCTCCACACCCAGTCAATCATTCATTGCAGTCTCCACTCCCAGTCAGTCAATCATTCAGTCATTCTCCACACCCAATCATTCATTGCAGTCTCCACGTCCAGTCAATCATTCATTGCAGTCTCCACACCCAGTCAATCATTCATTGCAGTCTCCACTCCCAGTCAATCATTCATTCTCCACACCCAGTCAATCATTCATTCTCCACACCCAGTCAATCATTCATTGCAATCTCCACACCCAGTCAATCATTCATTGCAGTTTCCACATCCAGTCAATCATTCATTAGTCTCCACACACAGTCAATCATTCATTGCAGTCTCCACACCCAGTCAATCATTCATTGCAGTCTCCACTCCCAGTCAGTCAATCATTCAGTCAGTCTCCACACCCAGTCAATCATTCATTCTCCACACCCAGTCAATCATTCATTGCAGTCTCCACACCCAGTCAATCATTCATTGCAGTTTCCACACCCAGTCAATCATTCATTGCAGTCTCCACACCCAGTCAATCATTCATTGCAGGTCTCCACACCCAGTTAATCATTCAGTCAGTCTCCACACCCAGTCAATCACCAGGTCTTCAACACATGTAGACCAATCATGTGACTGCAGACATTGACTCGCACATCATTTCATCTGACATTGATGAGTAGTACATGGTATTATTGTATATGTATAGCCTATGGGTGATGAAAGTATATGGTATTATTGTATATGTATAGCCTATGGGTGTTGAACGTATATGGTATTATTGTATATGTATAGCCTATGGGTGATGAAAGTATATGGTATTATTGCATATGTATAGCCTATGGGTGATGAACGTATATGGTATTATTGTATATGTATAGCCTATGGGTGATGAGTAGTATATGGTATTATTGTATATGTATAGCCTATGGGTGATGAGTGATTATTGAATGTATGTATATGGTGGGTGATGAAAGTATATGGTATTATTGTATATGTATAGCCTATGGGTGATGAAAGTATATGGTATTATTGTATATGTATAGCCTATGGGTGATGAAAGTATATGGTATTATTGTATATGTATAGCCTATGGGTGATGAAAGTATATGGTATTATTGGATATGTATAGCCTATGGGTGATGAAAGTATATGGTATTATTGTATATGTATAGCCTATGGGTGATGAAAGTATATGGTATTATTGTATATGTATTATAGCCTATATATGGGTGATGAGCAGTATATGGTATTATTGTATATGTATAGCCTATGGGTGATGAAATTGTATAGCCTATGGTATTATTGTATATGTATAGCCTATGGGTGATGAAAGTATATAGTATTATTGTATATGTATAGCCTATGGGTGATGAGTAGTACATGGTATTATTGTATTTGTATAGCCTATGGGTGATTAGTAGTATATGGTATTATTGTATATGTATAGCCTATGGGTGATGAGTAGTACATGGTATTATTGTATATGTATAACCTATGGGTGATGAAAGTATATGGTATTATTGTATATGTATAGCCTATGGGTGATGAAAGTATATGTAACTTAGTATAATCCTTGCAATAACCAGTGTGGATAACAATGAATTATCATGCTTGGTTATTTTGGCTTGTCGATTTAACCCCTTCAAGATAATTGGCAAATTGACAATAGAATTTATAGTTTAAATCAAAAGTACAGGCACACAGCTTATGGCCAGACTTAGCTAATTGCAGCAGATTAATATCTATAAGTAGCTCTCTGTATTGATATACATCTCAGTTAATACCGATCTGATACACAATCACGGACATGTTTCACATGCCTCTCCATATATTGACTGAACATCAGTGCCGTGAAATCCTGTTTAAGCAGGTAATTATCCCATCAAGTCACCGAATTAACCCCTCATATCTGGGGTATCAAAGCTCTAATCTTTCACCTTTGTCCATCATTCAAGGATTGGGCACCATGTTGTACACCGCTCATCTGAGGTGTTACATGCTGAGGTTCTGTTGAACAAACCGGCATCTCACTCCATGATCTCTGTGTACGAGGGACGAAGGTGTCCTGCGAGTGACCAATAGTGGTGACATGCTGTGATAGTAAACGAGTGACTTGTCACTATCATGGTCTCCATTTCACAACCATGTTCAATATTGACATGTTGTGGACGTGTCAGGAAGCTGTCGACAGCTTGAGTGGCCGGGCCGGAAATACATTATAAGATCTGCCGTTCTGGGCTTGTTGTCGTAATGTCATATCAATATCGGAAGAACACAGGCGAGCATTCCTGTTGGGTGTTGTGAGCACTAATGGCCTTTGTGAACAATTGATTTACCTGTCGGACTAATTGCTGACTAAGTTGCTCCATAAATTAGAACAATCAACATTTGGTTCAAATGGAATAGAGAATTGAGGCTTTAAGATCCAATGGTATTTATCAGTTCAGTGATGCTAACTTACAGAAAAAGAAAATTATCCTGTTATTCTTGGCACTACTTTCACTTTAGCTAAATATTAATATTATGTGTAAGGATTAGTGGAATTTTGTTGAATTATTAGAAATTATTAAAATGGAAAATTGTTTTACTTCATGTCAATATTCTTCTCAAAGAAGTAGAACATCCCATTATGTTGGTTTGTTATAACAGAAAACTAGTCATGTGAAAGAATAAGTTGTTCCTTGTCTTTTGTGTGGGACATTTGTGATTTTGTTATTGACATGATTTAGGGGAAATCTTTGAAAAATATTTTGGTCATATCAGCATGGCGAGAATTGTGAAAGTTTATTAATAATTGAGGTGCATCAACATGTCAGGCTTGGTTGATACTATACGGTCGCGGGGCTCCACACCCTGACAGATCTCTACTCATAAGGTCAATCAACCACTTGTCTGGTCCAGTGCTGTAAATACACTGTCACTGAAATGTTGATAACTGGGACATGTGCACATTCATGTACATTATTTCCATTGTTCAGTTTCTCTTTCTTCCTCCCCACACCCAACCCCTTCCCCCCAAATCCTCCATAACTGAAAAATAGAATTGAAAAATTGGTGTAATGAACAAACAACTGATAATTATAGCACTGTAATCATATCCATTGTAAACTCACACAGTCTCAATGTCCAACATAACCTGATTGTGCACCAACCCTTGTCTCTCTCTCTCTCTATATGTATATCAGTTATGACAAGGGGGCGGAGGTCGCGTTCTAAAGGTTAGAAAAGGTCATGGTTTCAGATAATCTCATGCCCCTATTTTCCAGTGTAGTTTACATCAGGTTATGAATGATCATGTTTCTTGAGGATCAGCAAGATACGACCTATGCTTCTTGTAATCAGCCAGCGTGATGTCCCTTATCACTATGGTATGAGAAGTGAATTGGCATATTATCACATACGTATCATACATGAGAAAGAGTGTTGAAATGTGAAAGATGTTAATTATCAGTTGGTTGTTGAGATTATGACAAACGTCAACAGAATTCAGACAAGTGGCAGGAACAGAAGCTCAGTGTTCATAAGCCACCTTTGCTGTGACATAATTGTTGTCAACAATGATACAGTTGTTGTCCTTAATATTTAGAAACTGATAAAATTATATTCAGTTATATTATCCTGCTTGTGAATAGTATTTTGGTGCCCCTAATATGTATTTGTTTTTCAACTGATAATTTCCCAAAATGGAGCCTCCTACATTAAACATTTTGTAGCACTATAGAGTTTTGCCTTAAACTTCAAACCTAGGGTGAAATTTAATTTACGGGAAGATTTGATTATGACCATTATTATATAATGTATATTTCTTGTCGTAAATTTGTTATGTACAACAAGTAGTAATTCGTGTCCCTCCAAAAGCCATATATTTGTTTTCTGTAACTATACATTTGTGTGTACGATCCACATGTTCCAGTCTCTTGTAGACCCTGTGGAGAGTACTTAATGTAGTCTACGTTACATCACTAGCTGACACTAGTAGGTTCCTAATAGCTAATCATTTATAGAAAAGTATGCAACAACCCTTGTCAACCAGTTCAACACAGACAGATATGACCATCAGTCCACTAACAGTCTATAAGGACAGTGGCGGTGGGGTAGCCTGGTGGTTAAAGCGTTCGCTCGTCACGCCGAAGACCCGGTTCGATTCCCCACATGGGTACAATGTGTGAAGCCCATTTCTGGTATCCCCTGCCGTGATATTGCTGGAATATTGCTAAAGGCAGCGTAAAACTAAACTCACTATAAGGACAAACCAGCTATATGACCAATTCTGTCGGTCGCATTATGTTTGGCCATGGTTCATTTTCGTTGGCTGATAATATTGTGTACGACACAACATTTTGTAATGAAACTTAGTTACTGATGATAGTTTGAAAAAAAACTTTTGTTAGTTACTAGACTGTAGGTACTAAGTAATTAGAAATATTAAAGTCACCCATGATGTGAACTTGATACAATTCATGTACACGCGCAACAACACCTGGTATAGATTCTTTACTCAACAAATCTTATATTTCAACCTAAAGAAGTTAGTGTATGAAGCCACACGTGTGCTCTATGTCCCGATCTTTATGTGCTCCCGTACACGCCTTTCTTCCAGACATGAAAACCCTCAGGCACAGCTTCAAGTGACAATGATGGATTTTAAAATGGCAGGTGGGAGAAAATGCTAGCTTGGTTGTTGCCATGGTAACTTGTAGCCTTGAGTCGTAAGCGGTCATATTAAGCAGCCAAAATTATGCCTGAGGGTGCAGAATGGTCAGATGGGTGCCCCCATTCACACTATAGTGAAATGTCTAACACAAGAACAATACCTCTTGTCGGGTGTCCGGGATAAATTGCCGTTAAAGTGTTGATTTCTGTGTGTTATGCAGCAGTGAAGTGTAACCTGATGGTGGTGTACGGATGTCGACAGGTCATGAGTCACGGATGACTGAGTTAGTCGTGTCCTGTAGTTCAGTCATCAATAGATAACTCTTACTAATGGTAACATTTGCTTAGATAAATATTAATTATTTATCACAGCTCTTATCGGTTCCTACATGCAATGATTTTGATGAGGATCTGTTGAGCATGTCCTCCAGTGTGACATAGATTTTCCATGCTTGCATTCAACAACACTCATGGGATGTCATTGATTTGGAATATCTGGTTTAGTACAGAATCAATGAAGCCATTTGTCTTTACAACATGTACCGAATCAGGTGTGGCAATTGAGTTATGTTTTTATCAAATTTCACATTTATTGATATATTGGGAGCCAGGTGGTTGTATCAGTGGTAGCCATAATGAAGGTATTTTTTGGTCCAGATTTGTCCCGATCCAGTTGTCATTGTACAAGAATGTCAGTGTTAAAAATTAAACATGGAAGTCAAGGAGTTCTATGCCGGAAAACTAAGTTCTATGGATAGTACTAACACTGTATCAAGCAATTGACGTTTCGGTGTAGGTACTAACACCGTTATCAAGCAAGTACCTACACCGAAACATCACATTCATTGCAATAAAGAAGTTGACTATCCATAGAACTTAGTTTTCCTTCATCTTCACAACTTCTAAAATGCTTCTCAAAGAATGAGTTCTATGTCTTAACCTTTTGTTATAAAAGATTTAGGGTAGCTTTAGTTTTAAATACCATGGTATAAAACCCAAGGGAACCACGACCAACTTTCATTTCTATCACAGTATGTGATTAAGATTGTTTTCGTGAACTGACGACCTGTATGTTGTGTTTTTCAGAGTATTGGTAAAGGTTCACTATGGTGCATCGACCCAGACTTCCGACCAAACCTGTTACAGGCGCTACGGAAGACACCTTATCATCCGTATCACCAACTTCAGATGATGTCTTCACCACAGTCAAACATGCAGCTCCCAGTGCTTCCACCAGGGTAGGTGTACTCTCCGTCAAACAGGCAGCTCCCAGTGGGGGTAGGTGTACTCCCATGCAGCTCCCAGTGCTTCCACCAGGGTAGGTGTACTCTCCGTCAAACAGGCAGCTCCCAGTGCTTCCACCAGGGTAGGTGTACTCTCCGTCAAACAGGCAGCTCCCAGTGGGGGGTAGGTGTACTCTCCATCAAACAGGCTGCTCCCAGAGGGGGTAGGTGTACTCTCCGTCAAACAGGCAGCTCCCAGTGGGGGGTAGGTGTACTCTCCATCAAACAGGCAGCTCCCAGAGGGGGTAGGTGTACTCTCCGTCAAACATGCAGCTCCCAGTGGGAGTAAGTGTACTCTCCGTCAAACATGCAGCTCCCAGTGGGGGGTAGTTGTACTCTCCGTCAAACAGGCAGCTCCCAGAGGGGGGTAGGTGTACTCTCCGTCAAACAGGCAGCTCCCAGTGGGGGGTAGGTGTACTCTCCGTCAAACAGGCAGCTCAGGTGGGGGTAGGTGTACTCTCCGTCAAACAGGCAGCTCCCAGAGGGGGTAGGTGTACTCTCCGTCAAACAGGCAGCTCCCAGTGGGGGTAGGTGTACTCTCAGTCAAACAGGCAGCTCCCAGTGGGGGTAGGTGTACTCTCCGTCAAACAGGCAGCTCCCAGTGGGGGTAGGTGTACTCTCCGTCAAACAGGCAGCTTCCAGTGGGGGGTAGGTGTACTCTCCGTCAAACAGGCAGTTTCCAGAGGGGGTAGGTGTACTCTCCGTCAAACAGGCAGCTCCCAGAGGGGGTAGGTGTACTCTCAGTCCAACAGGCAGCTCCCAGTGGGGGTAGGTGTACTCTCCGTCAAACAGGCAGCTCCCAGTGGGGGTAGGTGTACTCTCTGTCAAACAGGCAGCTCCCAGTGGGGGGTAGGTGTACTCTCCATCAAACATGCAGCTCCCAGTTGGAGTAAGTGTACTCTCCGTCAAACATGCAGCTCCCAGTGGGGGATAGGTGTACTCTCAGTCAAACAGGCAGCTCCCAGAGGGGGTAGGTGTACTCTCCGTCAAACAGGCAGCTCCCAGAGGGGGTAGGTGTACACTCAAACATGCAGCTCCCAGTGGGGGTAGGTGTACTCCCGTCAAACATGCAGCTCCCAGTCCCAGTGAGGGTAGTTGTACTCTCCGTCAAACATGCAGCTCCCAGTGGGGGTAGGTGAACACTCAGTCAAACATGCAGCTCAATCCAGGGGTGGGTTATTCACTAAGACCCTACAACTAGCCAAACAGTCTCCAACCTAATCAAGCATGGAGTTCCAAGTGCTTCCTGCAGGGTAGGGAGTTCCACCCCAGTCAATATTTCCACTCAAGTAAAACATTCTTCCTGGTCATTGTCAAACGTACATCCTCCACTCTCAGTAAAACATGCAGTTCCCTGTCCATACCTGATTGGCTCTCGCACATAGACTTCGGCATATACAAGGGCACAAACATAACCTCTATCTCCCTCTTCAGTCATAATATTCTGTTTGTTGTCATGAATCTATCTGTCTAGTTCATTTTGAAAATCATCAAAATGTTCAAGAAGCATGACCATCTCAAATCAGTCAAACAGCTATTTGAGCTTCTGAACAATTGGCCAAAATTGGCTAGGTGTTGCCATGACAATCTCTGGTGACCCAGAATGCTTTGCAGACATTGTTAGAGAGAGCACGACATCAACATTGTCAAACATGGCTGTGGGACGATGTATTTACACAAGTCAGGAGGGGGTTAGAGAGTGTATCGACATATATCCTCAAACTCACCTTGCCTCTTCTCGATCTTTCACCTCTATTCAGATCATCTCAACATGCCCATACATGTTGTATCTGGTGTGTTTACCGACAGCTCGTAGGCTACCCATGTATTTGCCATGTGTTTACATTGAGGAGTCTCCACATACACTTTGATCACGAACATTAAGAAACATTTTTGAAGTGGTCTCTGTAATGACAGCATCCATTCTAGAAAAACGATTCATTGAATTAACAAGAACTCTTATTTGATGACTAGTCATAAGTTTTGAATTTAAGTAGATCATATTAAAGATCATTTAGAACAAATAAAAGAGAAAGACATTTGGTACAGGAAACATCCAGGAGTATGGGAGAGTACGTGCATGGAGCACAGTTTTATAGGAAGGTAGAAAACATTGAGTAAACTGAGGGCTGTATGGAGAACATTGGCAGTAGTCAAGTAGTATATTATAGTAGAGCATTGGCTAGTATTTATAGCATTGGGTAGTATAGTAGAGCATTGGGTAGTATCTTTAGCAATGAGTAGTATTGTTCGAGTTCTGGATAGTATTTATAGCATTGGGTAGTATAGTAGAGCATTGGCTAGTATTTATTGCATTGGCTAGTATTATAGTAGAGCATAGGCTGCATAGCATTTATAGCATTGGGTAGGTAGATTTATAGCATTGGACAGTATAGCACACTGCTAGCATTTATAGCATAGTATAGTAGATTGGCAGTATTTATAGTATTTATAGCATTGGGTAGTTATAGCATAGTATAGAGCATTGGCTAGTATTTATAGCATTGGCTAGTATTGTATAGCATTGGTATTTATTAGCATTAGATAGTATAGTAGGCATTGGCTAGTATTTATAGCATTGGTATAATATAGTTTATAGCAGCATTGGCTAGTATTTATATAGCATTGGTAGTAGTTTATAGTAGAGCATTAGTAGCATTGGCTAGTGTTTTATAGCATTGGGTAGTATAGCACTTTATAGCATTGGGTAGTATTTATAGCATTGTAGAGCATTGGCTAGTATAGTAGAGCACTGGCTAGTATTTATAGCATTGGGTAGTATAGTAGAGCACTGGATAGTATTTATAGCATTGGTAGAGCACTGGATAGTATTTATAGCATTGGGTTGTGTAGTAAATCACTGGACAGTATCTTTAGCAATGAGTAGTATGTTTGAGTTCTGGATAGTATTTATAGCATTGGGTAGTATAGTAGAACACTGGATAGTGTTTTTTAGCATTGGGTAGTATAGGAGGGCCTTGGGCTGTACAACAGCAGTTGATAGATTATATGGTATTGGGCAGAAGAGAGGTCTATGTACATCAAACTAGGTCCACCTGTACACTGCCAATTGGGGATCAGACAGGCTTGCATCTGGAGTAGAGTCAACCCTTGAGTTGATAAAAGTCCACAATTTGCTTTAAATGAAACACTCCCCTTGACTTGTGACACATTACTGTGTCGGGAGGATAAGATAGGCTAGCCATGTTAACAATGGTGAAGTATAGCATCAAGTGTGCACCCACTCATCTGCAGGGGACACGGGAGGATCCTGTACACTGTTTTCAAACTGTGGCTTATGTCTCTGATATTGAGAATCTGGTCCAGATCTGGGTGAACTTAAGAAGACTGTAGACTGTTTCCAAGCTCTCTGATTGCTATGAAATAAATAGACCCAGGCAAATCCCTGTACTATCTATTGGTGTGTTTACAACATATAATCTGTTCTACAAAGCTTGATGTTTTTTGTAATGTGTTTCGTATTCTTAGTGATGGTGAAATGAACGGCCATCTTTGAGACAGGGCCTAATGTATGAAATGTAGATTGGCCCATATGGAGATAAAGTGCCTGTAATCATGCTGCTTTTATTGGGAGGTTGAAGCATTATTGATGAATTTTCTGAAGCGAAAGTGGGAACCTGCTGCCATTTTAATACACATATTTCACTTCCCCATCATGGCATTGCTGTTGCCATAGGAACCACACAAAGCTTGAAGGTGATGACACTGCCCAATTCTTGTACCAGACAATTATGGCTGGAGTGGCTGTTGCAAAATTAAATACCTACAGTGTATGTGAGCAAGGACAGTGCGACAGTGTAGAGCATGTATTTTATTGAACGTTGCTCATATGCCACGGGATAGTGTTACAATTGTCAGCAAGGCAGTAGTGTTGAATACCAAAATTTACTGATGTACTGAGGTGAAGCTGTTGTCTGGTGAGCGGCCAGTCAATCGAAGGGGGATAGGGAAGCCTAATGTGGCTTGGTACGGCTGGATTAAGGGAAGATACGCAATCAATGCTGGCTTGTTAATAACGAGCTCTCTGATGGCGTCATAATGTCAATGCGGATCGTAATTGAATTTTATGAATATCTTTAAGTGGCATTTTAAGGCATGTAGTTACTGTGTGGAACTGGTCCAGCCTATGATAGAGAACAACTGACAGTTGACAAATTAAGCTGCAATACAAAATTTATGAGATGAGTCAAGAATTATGTTATGTGAGTGCTTATGAATATATAAATCGACAAGCTATTTGAAAATGTAATATGTAGGCATTTAATCTTTCCATTAAGCAGTGGATAGCTAGGTACATGGGTGCTATAACATTTTGGTCTGTACCTCGCGTGGATTCACGTCATGATGACAAGTTTGTGTCTCTGGAGGTTTATATTATAGAGTAATATGACTGATTTACGAGTCAAAGCTCAATCACATGCTCACTTTGCTTGTTCACTAAACAGTACAACCAGAAATTATTGAGAATTTAAAGATTGTAAATTTTTATATTTTTTTCACTCATTACTCAAGTATTAAATGTGAATATTAGCAGAACATAACTCCAGATTCAAAGACAGGTGAACAGTTAGTATTTTGTCAAGTCACCATGGGCAGCAATGCAGGCTTCAATGCGGCGGGGCATACTACTGATCAAAGAAGTTAGAAAGTCGTGGTCCATGCTGTCCCAATATCGGACCACCTCTTCTTTCATTTCAGTAATATTTGTCAGATTTTTCTTATTGACACTTTCCTTCATAAGTCCCCAAACATTTTCTATTGGATTTAGGTCAGGTCTATAGCTTGGCCAATCTAGTAATGTCATATTTTGGGTCCGAAACCAGGCCTGTGAATACTTTGATGGATGTTTTGGGTCGTTGTCCTGCTGGAAAATCCAAAAATTTCCATAGAACACTTGAGCAGATAGAAGTAAATGTCCCTCGAGAATATCTGTGTACCGCTCACTGTTCATATTCCCTTCAAATACACAGAGGGGCGTTGCCCCTAACACAGATATGCTACCCCACACGTGTAATTTCAGACTGTACTATGGGCCCTGATACAAAGGTTTTTCAGTTTGTTGGGTCCAGAATTTCAGTGTATTAGGAAACAGCCACACAGAACTTTCATCTGAGAAAATCACATTGTCACAGTTAAAATTTCTATGCTGTAAGCACCAGTTCAACCTTCGCTCCTTTTGTTCAGGTTTCATGATCGGTGATGTAATTCCTCGACTTTTCTGCCAACCCATTGCATGCAGCTCAGTTCCAATTGTCTCCTTACAGACAGCCACAGTTCCTCTATCAATCATATCCAGCCTTAAGTTTTCTAAACTCCTTCGGTTTTTTAGAAACAAGAATACCAAGCCGCCTCCTGTCACCGACAGTCAATTTTCTGGGCCTATCTGCGCCTCCCTGGTGCTCAGTGCCATATCCATTTGCAATATTTTTCAAAACACGATAAACAGTGGACAAAGGGATGCCTGTTCTACTTGAAAGCACTTTAGCTGATCTGATTTCCTTGTTATAATACTCTAAAATCAACTTCCTCTTCTCAAAGACTTCTCTAAATCATCCATACTGAGGATCACTGAAAATGTCGTCTGCTAGCAAGTAAACAAAGGGGGATAACTCTTCACAAACTAATGAAAAAGGATTAACAGAGTTGTTTCTCTTGATGAAACCAAGCACTTGATAGCTGGTCAAGGTTGTTTATACTAGAAATCCAATTCAACATATTCCTAAAAATTCGCAATAATTTCTGGTCATACTATATATAATTAGTCAATCTTTATTGTGACTTTTTGAAAAAAAGAGTGCCTGTAAAAATGTATTTTTGTTTATTTCAGTTGCCATCGGCCCTTTCCCTTGTCCCCTCGATCAGCACCCAACACTATTTCACCTCGTAAGTAGTTAATGTAGAGGTCACATCACGGCTGCTGCTGCTGCTGCTGCTGCTGCTGCTGCTGCTGCTGAGGAAGGAGTGTAACAATACAGGAGTACTATGGTTCATGTCACGTACGCCATGAAGTAGGGTTGCTGATATCTCTATGTCATGAAACTGACCAAAATCCTACCAGACATTTGCGAGGTGCCATATCTTATGAAAACTTGACACATTCAGAAATGCTAAATTTTAATCAAATGTTTTCAAAACAATACAAAATTGGTATCCTCATTCCTCAATTAATCTTGATCAGTGTCAGTTTGTACCACATGAAGCAGAATTATCTTACCAGCTAGTTACTATGTAAGTCTGAAATGTTTCTCTTAATTCAGATATTCCAGTTGCAGTCATTATATTTTACTTCTTGCAGTATTGTTACACTCCTTGCAAGAGTTGTGATTGTTTTAGAGCCATTTCACGGTTATATTTTATTTGCTTATCTCTCCCAGATATTCTTGCATGCCATTGTTCTGTTTTGTACATTTTCTCAAATACTTCCAAAGCTGATATTTATCTCCATTTGAAATAATGCGATTCTTTGTTTGTGTTTCTGTGGCTATCACACAAGATCTGTACCCTAGTTTTGTTACTAGATGTTGGCATTTGTCTTTTCTGCAGATCTCTTCCCGTTTCTCAGTAAGAGATTAGCACAGACAGCTTCAGATATTGGTAAGTTCTTCGCACATTATGAAGTTACTTAGTCCTCCAACATCATTTAATTGATGAAGTACAGCAGATATCTTTCCTGTTATGGGAAATTAGGTTTCCGGAGGAAAATATGGGATGAGTTGCTGAATATGATCACTTCTTAAATCACTTACACTATACCCAGACTCAACTTGCTGGGTAGGTGTCAAAGGGGTGGACTTAAGGGCGGACTTGTTTGAAGCATTGTATCCAAGTTGTGTAGATTGATGCTCATGATATCTATCACTGGATTGTCTGATCCAGACTCGATTACAAAAGGCTTTTGTCATCTATTTTCAGTTCAGAGTTAAATATTACACAATGTAGAGTTAATGTAGACTAGAGTAGAAAAGTTAGAATATACCACATTTAATACAATATAGCATATTTTTGTGTACACAAGTAGTACCTAATGTATATCATGTAATAAAGAATGTAGTGCTTGATACAGAATATATTACGATAGATCTAACACACCCGAGCTTAGTAGCAATCCAGCACTTTTGTTGTACGCTGCTTTGAACCTAACTCTTCTTGGAGGCTGGCACGAGCAATTATAAGAGTGAATAACAGTAGTTGTTACTTTCGTTGCTACAATGTATCCCATTAGTGTGATGCAGGAAGTATTTAATTTGCTTGTGTGATGTCACTTGAGACACCATGATGGTAGACTGATTTACTACTTCTGCCAATTAGTACAAGGACTACCAACTAGTTTGTGCCACTTCCATGTGACTCCTTCATGCTACAGTGTTGCGATCTCGTGAAGAGTCGGGTTAGAAGGGGTCTTAAGCAACTTGTGCCTGTTGTAAAACTCTACAATCAGGATTGGGTGGTCAGGCTTGCTGACTTGTCATCGTATCCCAATTGCGTAGATCGATGCTCCTGCTGTTGATCACTGAATTGTCTGGTCCAGACTCGATTATTTAGTCTGCCGCATATATAGCTGGAATATTGCTGAGTGCAGCGTAAAACTCACTCACTCACTACAGTGTTGAGACAGTTTCTTTGAGGCCTTGATTGTTAGATGGTCTGTGGCTTGCCTAGCCAGTACCCTGATGTTGTGAATCGTTGCTCATGCTTTTACTCACTAGTTTTACTTGTTGCTATGATACGGCTGCAAGATTCACTTGTTCATTCATTTCCTTATATTTTATTGATGAAAATTGATTTTTGAAAAGTTGACGAGTATTTATCAGCCTCCGATGTTAATGAACCCGAAACCCTGACAGATCTCATTGTTATAAGATGAAAGGACACTGTCACGTATCACTCTTTGATCATTACATCCGGCATGTAGTTAGATGTTGCATGTGGAGTGTGATAACAGTCCATATCCATTTCTACTGTGTAGCCCCATTACTTAGGCCTGATGACCTGTACGGCCATTATAGACCATGGTAGCTCCTGTACTGATGGTTGATAAGAACAAATTGTGTATGACCACTGATGATATGGCCGCATCACTGACAGGAGTATTGATTGTCAGAAACTGTGAAAACACTGGAAGCTACGGTTACATTGATTTGTAGGAAAATACCGAAACAGCAAAGGTTGCTATGTATTTACAGGTTGTTGTGGTGGGTATCTGTACATCATGGACAGGAATGTAGGAGAACACTTGTTGTCTGTGTGGGACTCGACCAGATATTGACATCCAGGTTTACATGGCGATCATCAGCTTCTTATTGTCATGTCAGCTGAAAGATGAACAAGACGCCTTTTGAAGAGAATAATACGAAGTATATTGGGACAATACAATAGATTTATCATCGTTTTATGGGTTTTCGGATGCTTTAGGAACTTTTACTATTGAACAAGTACCACAGGATCAGTCTCTCACTACCAAGGTGGTTGGGTAGGCATTCCTGCAGACCAAGTACCACAGGATCAGTCTCTCACTACCAAGGTGGTTGGGTAGGCATTCCTGCAGACCAAGTACCACAGGATCAGTCTCTCACTACCAAGGTGGTTGGGTAGGCATTCCTGCAGACCAAGTACCACAGGATCAGTCTCTCACTACCAAGGTGGTTGGGCATAGGCATTCCTGCAGAACAAGTACCACAGGATCAGTCTCTCACTACCAAGGTGGTTGGGTAGGCATTCCTGCAGACCAAGTACCACAGGATCAGTCTCTCACTACCAAGGTGGTTGGGTAGGCATTCCTGCAGACCAAGTACCACAGGATCAGTCTCTCACTACCAAGGTGGTTGAGTAGGCATTCCTGCAGACAGCGTCCTACAGGAGGACATTCTCTCACTACCAAGATGGTTGGGTAGGAACTCCACATTGATGTGAAGCCCATTCCCGTCAGAACATCCATGATATTGTTGGAATATTACTTAAAGTTGCATAACGACATAGTTACTTCTCACATATTGTAGCCATCTGACCCCAAACTGTGGCAATCTGTATAGGATTACTGTGAACTTGCTGCTCCTTAAAGAGTAAATGTGAAGTGGGATTTGGGTTGAAGCTGAAAATGTTTTTAGGTATCCAGTGAAGCAGAATCATCGGGAGAGATTCCATCCAGGAAACGCAGCTTTTCGCGCACAAATCAATACATCTCTCAGAAAACACCAATAGCTTCTAGATTTGCTAAATGGGTAAATGTAATGCTTGTACAAAACTGCTGGTGTGCTGAATATTCCTTGAAGTTATTAATAATCAATGTAGGTGTTGAGTAACAACTGTAGACATTAATGGCATCCTGTCCTGTCAACCTGCCTGTATTCTGAACATATGGTGGAAACGGGAGTTGATGTTTCTTCCAACATGAATTTTTTAACAATATTTTCTCTGAATATTTCTTTGATGGATATAATTGTGCAGTATGTTTGGTTAGTTCTTGCTAGACTGCTTTTTAAAATGGCACCAGTACAATTAGTATTGTGAACGTGATTAGCCTCTTGACTTTCTTGAGCACTTCGTATCTGGGTGTTCGAGATTTATAATAGATATTAAATCAATAAATCGGTAAACTCAAGAAGCCATGGAATCGTCCATAGTCATCAAAGCAGAAAAAAGTCTTGTACTGTTCCTATGTTGGTGAGGTGTGACGTCCATCATGTGAGCCGTCTGCTCCATCAATATGGGACAAAGGTTTATGAGACTTGCTAGCAGGTCAGAGTCTGTATATAGGAGTATTTGTTGTAGAGACACCCTTAGTGATTAAAACATTTAATGAACTAATCGAACATGCTCCAGCTTGTTATATGGGCCATACAATATATCTTCTTTGTGCATGGTGTAAAATCAATCTGGTCACCAGTAGGTGTTAGGTGCATGAGATATTTATATTTCATATTTCTTCAGAGAGGTTTATTAATTTAGAAATCAATTGATTATTTGCTCTGATATCAGAATGGTTATTTGTACAGTAGAATTGCTACCTCATTTTATGCTATTTTTTGTTGGATCAAAAACACAAACTATCAACAAAATATTTCTTGGTTTATTATTACATAAAGCATGAAAAGCTCAGAATTTGAGTTAATCCATTTGAAGAAGAAACAATCAATGTGTTTTGACCTTAAGGTTCATGCATCTCTGAAGTGTGTTTTGTACAGGTATGATGTGATGAATGGTATCCAGTGAACAGTTTGGTTTTATTTTCATCACATAGTAACATCCAAGACAGTGTTTACTGGAACAGACCCTATGTGGGTAGTTAGCACACACTGGCGTACACATTCCATAATTCACAGAGAATACTCAGGGAATTGGTTTCAGCTCTCACTTCATTGTGTTTATAGAATGTAATAAATGGGAGGTTTTTTGTAAGAGATATATATAGGTGTCATGTTTATTTAAGGATGGAAATATTTCTTGTATTGTGTTACTATAACATACTTATTGGGGAAATGGATTAAGGGTACTGATGCTAATTACCAGATGATACATACTTACACGATCATCCGCTTGTGAAGACTATTATATTGATGGTCGAGTACACAGATGGACATGTTTCTCACTCAGTCTGGTACCGTCAGTTAGGGGATTACCACAGGAGGTATTATGCTTAGGTGTGGGTGGGGTTCCTGATGACTTCAAGCATAATGTCCTTAAGTCTGTAATTAGGGACAAACTCCCAGCCCTGTTGTATAGGAGCTAGTCTCCTGCAGATATGTAAGTAATGAATCTGAATCTTACATTCATGCAATTGAAGACAACAGAGTGATGCATGTCTCTCGTCTCGCTATATAAACTTGTGATGTGAGGAATTGTGTTGAGATGATGTAGTGAGGGCATGGTGTGGGCATCTCTTCAACTGTTCTGCTTCAAGAGATTTGTCCAGTCATTAACATTCAAGGCCACCCATTTACAGTTTCTGTTGGACTGATGCTCCAACACTTGGAATGATGACAGATTCTTTTTTCTTTCTTTTTTCATTTAAAAAAAAATACTAATCTCATATGATCTTGCACCTCAAAATTAATGTGTTGTATATATTTTCAATGTAAAACTTATTCCCCACGAACGTAATCAATGAAAACACATTTGTATGTGAATGCATCACATGGTTCACTGACGAAATTGTAACTTCTATTCAGCAGTTTGGCTCATTAACATTCATTCTAGCACGACATGGTGTGATACTCGATTCTGATTGGCTGAGAGTTCATCAAAACTGTACTTAAATGGCAGTTTAAGACTGCAAATGAAAGTGACCGATTCACCGTGTATGAATACAACAAACTTGTTGACCCTATTGTTTGTAAACAAACATGTCGGACATCAGCAATTTCTACTTCGGCAACATCTTTTGTGGGTTTTTATGTAAAAAGCGAATGGTTTGAAGAAGAATTTCTTGACCCTAATCCCAGTGAAGAAACTACAAAGCTGGAAAAGCGGCAGTATATTCAAACCGGGTCTAGATCTAGTGGGCATGACGTCGACAACACGCATCGGCCCACACGTCCTAACCTGACCGCTTCCGTCCCGGACGTAATGCCCAGTCCTTCAACTTCCACTGTCCATGTATCCCACATAAAACGTGGCATGTCAGGTCTTTTCCAAATTGGGAATAGTAGGGTGGTTATCAACAATTATTTCCGTAAATAAAGTTAGCGCCGACTAAACATAGCGAGTTCACGGCTTGAATTGGGGCGAGTTGATTGTCATACAGTAGGGGAGATCAATAATTCGCTTTAGAAATATCAGTATAAACTGTATTTTTTTTTATTTGTGTATGTTACTTCTTACAAATACAAGCATACTGGTTCCTGAAATAAAGTATTTATGTTGTTGAAAATGTTAATTACACAACCTGTCCCTCAACGGGATGATTCCAAGCGATTTCCAGGAAAAAGGCCCTGTTGATGTAAGACCGCTAAACGTTTAATTTAAAACCTCACACTGACGCGTTCGGTTTTTAAATTTACATTTAGCGGTCTTAAATCAACGATAAAGGACCGCAAAACTGAAAACCAAGTAGCTTTATCTTCTAAGTAAGGTGAGATGCAATTTAATCACACGTAGTTTCTGTTATGGGCTCTCTGTGAAACATATCCAGGAGTGTTTGGTGAAGCTCTGTTTGTCTGTCTCTCCCTCATCAGCATTTACCATCTTTAATTATTGCAAATGTCACTACTCACATTTCCATTGGAAATATTAAACTTGTGTACCCGTATCTATGGTAACTGAGTAATACACATCATCAGCCAAAACAGATGTGATCTGTGATAGAGATGGTGCAAGAGGTCTGCTCAATGTCATTCCCTAGGTAAACATTTGAGGAGGGTTCTTGCTTCTCCTCTCTGTTTGGTTTGTTCTCTAAACACTGATAAGATAATACTATTGATGTTGGAAAATAGTCATTAATCTCTGGTCTCAAATTCAAAGCTGAAACCATTTCTGCTAAACTAGGAAGCAGACGCAGCATGCCATCAGGTAGCTTGTTGACTGTTACCGTGGACAACAGAAGCAACGCTTCATAACAAGTCAGCTGTGACCCATCCATGTTTGTTTTTCGTCCAAAACGTTTCCTCTAGAATTCCTGAAGCTGTGAACAGAGGGATGGGCAGTAGTTGCATTTTGGCGTCTGTCAGTGTGTGGTCAGGGTCGTGCTCAAATGGGTGTCACTGTTGCAGCAGCAGCAACAGCATATCATGTATCCCCAGCCCAGTTGGCAAACCATAATGGTTGATATGTGATAGTACATTATCAGGATTTTAAGGCACAGCAGTTAATTTCAAGGAGAGATGTTAATCTAGGTTGTGATCCCTTTATACCTGGTGTGTTGAAAGGGTTCTGTATTGCATGAATAAAAACATCCCATTTCGAACTTGGAAGGTGAAACACACAAGTCCATAGCTCATAGTTCAGGAGATTAATGTTATCAGATTGCGTCAAACTTTTAAGTTTTATCCACCATGCAACAATTTTTTTGATTATCAGAATTGTTCAGAACCAAGAGGACAATATGGCATTAACTAGTGATGGTTTGGTTCTGGTCTTTACTTATTATGCTGGAGATACGGGTTTTCCACAACTGGGTACATTGTCCTTTTACTGGTGTCTGATGCTGTGATTATGTCATACTCACTCATTCTTATCTAAATACGCTAAAATGTTCCTAGTTAGTACAAGCAGAAGATGGTGTCTCTATAGCTCTTGTAACTTGATGGGTTTTTTCCTTTCCAGACAGCGAAATTACAGATGTTGCCTACACATTGGTGTCCTTGAAAGGCTTCAGCAGCAAGAGTGAGTTACCCCACCGATTGGTCTCAATTTATTTCAGTGAAAAATATAATAAAATGTAATCTTACCCACATTTAAATGGTACAATTTGAGTAATTGCTAATTTAGTAATCCGACTTCTTACAATTTTAAGCAAAACATAATGTTTTAAACATAGAATGTCTAATTTTAGATTCATCTGGGATGTCGTCCGACGGCTCAGAGGGCTCCTTGGATCCCAGGTTTCGGTACAAGAGAAAGTTCAGGTAAAGCTCTTCATCCAGTGATACACTATTTCATCTAGGACATGATTCTGTGGTTGATTACAACTGTATCCAAATCAAAAGATTTCTTTAGGCCATCTTTGAATAAAACAAGTGTTTGCCACTGATATGGCAATGTCCCCCGCTGCTATAGAATGGAATATCTATATTTATTACTTTTTATTTTTGGATCACATACAAGATGCCTGAAATGACTGGTGTCTGCATAATAACCCAATGTAGGCTGTCAACATACTTGAAAACATTGGGTGCAATGTTTTATGATATATCGCCTTTAAAAAGCAGTCAAAGTATCATGGTGACCTTGAAGATAAGGTCAAGGTCACCCAAATAAGCTGGTGTCTGTGTAATACCCCAATGTAAACTGTCACTAAATTTGAAGACATTGGGTACAACAGTCCATGAGATATCGCGTTAACAAGAAAAGTGTGAAAAGTGTCGTGGTGACCTTGAAGATAAGGTCAAGGTCACCCAAAATCAACTGGTGTCTGTGTAATCCCCCCAATGTATGCTGTCACCAAATTTGAAGACACTGTGAACAACAGTCCATGAGATGCCGTGTTAAGAAGAGTTTGAAAGTGTTCAAAGTGTCATGGTGACCTTGAAAATAAGGTCAAGGTCACCTAAATAAACTGGTGTCTGCGTAATCCCCCAATGTAGGCTGTCACCAAATTTGAAGACACTGGGTACAACAGTGCATGAGATATCACGTTAACAACAGTTTGAAAAGTGGTCAGTGTCGTGGTGACCTTGTCAGGTGTGACTTTTTTTCAACTTAAAGTAAAATTAAATATTTTTAATTATTCAAGTTGACTGAACCATTGTTTTTTGTGTCACAGGGATCATGGGTATATACGTCGCCGGCCATCAGGGCCAATCATCTGCACCAACAGCCCTAGTGAGGATCATACCTATAGTGCAACAACAGTCGCTCCTGACGAGGACGACTACATGCCGTCATCACCTGTTTCATCCATTGATGATGAGTATGACTTCGGCCCTGATGATGACGTAGAGAGTGACTCTCCCAGTTACCATAGCGACTATGACTATGGAAGTGACATGGATGAGGTCGATGGAGAAACATCAACGCAACAACGGAAACGATTCCGGGACTCTAAAACAACGGAGGAGGAGGAACAGAAGAAGATAGTAGAAGGAGCCGATGCACTCTTGAACTTGGCTGGAATTATGACCCGTTCTCCCCGACGGTCTCCTCGCTCTGTGTTGAGCAAGACAGACTTTAAAGCCAGATCATCTCCATCCTAATGGAGGAGGTCTTCTTCATGTTTTAGAACAGTCTTATTTCTTTTGATACCAGACGAGATTTAACATTATATGGAGAATACTGTCATGGCTTGGGAAAGATCCTGCTCATGGTGTCTCGGTGTGGGAAGTCATGAGCATTTTGTGGACAACAGTTGAGATTCTTATCTCCCATGGGATGCAATCAGGAGCAGTTTGTAGCACTCGAAGCAGTTACTGAGTGACTGAGACTCAAAAGCAGCTACTAAGTGACTCAAAACTGTTACTAAGTGACTCAAAACTGTTACTAAGTGACTCAAAACTGTTACTAAGTGACTCAAAACTGTTACTCAGTTACTGAAACCAGTTACTTGGTTACTGGCAGAGGTGAATCACGGGACATTAGAGGGAAGATTATGCTGTATTTACAGTGTTGCAAATGAGTCTTACCAATTGTTTTAAATGATTTTGTTTTCTTAAAGGTGCTCGAATTGTGTTGGTTAAGGTGCATTAGCTAGGAGAGGTGCAATTTATTTGCTCTGGTTTATCCCAAGGTTTATGTTTTGTTTGAAATTAGAGATTTTGTTGATAATTGCAATGTTTGTTTTCATGACTCTTTATACTTGGAAAAAAATATTATTTTCACTGCAATGTTCATTGTTTCCATGCAAGTAGGTATAGTCAGTACTTTTTATGATGTTTCCAATCATGGGCAGCAGAGATGGCGGAAATGAATTATAAAACCTATAAATTTACTCACGCTCAGGGGTACCCTGACTGAAGGTCATGACCTTTTTCAAAATAACATGCGAACTTGACCTTGAGGGATGTGGCTACAGTCCACGCAGGATGCACTTGTACAGTTTTATACAACTTTGTAGATACTTGTTACAGTGTTAATACTCCATTGTTCATGAACTCATTAGTATATAGTTAAACCATCTCTCCTGTTGCTTGTTATTACTTTTCTTGTAAGATGCACGGAAAGCTGCTGGAGGGGGGGGTGTATTGGTGCAAGGATGTTCAGTGTCATAGGGGGGTGGGGTTTATTACATAGTATGTATACATAGTATATACACCAGATAGTACCAGTTGTGTAACATATTATCTTTATACCTTGTTGGTAATGGTCATAGCAACCTAGCTGACGTATTTGTTATTTACTTATGGTATTGGTTCTCAACACTGTAGGTGCTATAGATGAATCTGGGGCTCACTCAGTGCTGGGTGGAGGAAATACTGAGGTGTTAATATACATGGTCAGGGCACCCTTGTGACTTACACTGACCCTAAATGGGGATTGCTCCTCTGTCCTTTGAAATATAGGCACTTGTCTATGGTAATATGGGAAGCGTGCCACAACGAGTCATGCGTCTTTTAAGGATGTTTTCTTAAAATTTCATTTAACAGTGCTACTAACATGCCTCAACTTAGCAATCTTGTAGTTTAGATAGATTCGGAGATGGTATTGTGGATACCAGTGTGGTATTTTCAGTGAACTGAAAAGAGGCCCATAGCCAACATCACTGCATGCTCAAGCTACTATTTGCTGTATATCTGCATATATTTTATATTTGTTATGGTTTTGTTTAATGCACTTGACCAAATTGCTTCCATATAACACATTAAATGCATCACACAATTCAGCTGATAATGTCAGTACTGTCTTTGACAAAACTAGTTTCAATGTTTGCAATTTTTATCAAAATGTCAGCATTTAGATAAAAAAATGCAAAAAACTACATCCATTAGATGGATTTTATATTTGATAATTAAATGTAAATATCTGACAGAAAAGATCAGTTGAGAGATATGAATTAATCAGGCCAAAAATATCTTCACAAGCAACAGATTTCCATTTACAAAAAGCAGTTGGTTTTTCTTTTAATGTATCAGATATACAGTTTCACCAGATACGTTTTTATGTGAAAATATTTAGAATACAGATCTGTAAATGTTAGTTACCCCCTTAGCTATCAGGATTTCCAGGGTTTCATGCCCCGTTATGACCCTAGGTTCCGTTGGCGAAGTGGTTGATGTCAGCGCTCTGAAATCCCACACACTGAATGAAACACTGTTCAAGGCAGTATTTTAGCCGTCTGCCCAAGGCAAGGGAGGTAACTGACTTAGGTTTCTTCCCTTAGCAAGCTGGACTGGAATTTCATGGTTTGAAAGCAACGCCACCAGTGGCTGTTAGGAGTTATGTCCCTTATGTCAATTCCACCTGTCATATAACTTGCATTTGTTTCCAACAAAATGGCAGTACCCAGTAAAGAGGATATGATTGCTTAGGTGTATACTGTGATAAAATGTATCAACATACTGGTACTGGTACTTGAATACCTTGATTAGAAACCTGGAAACATTCAGAAAGTATATGTTGATGCCCAGTAGATATACGTTTAACAAATTCTGCTGCTAACTGAAAACTGAGGGCAGTTTATGAAATGTACGTGAGTTTGTTACATGTTTTTGATTGGACCATGCACAAATTTGTTACTTCATCCGAAACTACTCCATTCCAGTCTGGGTCGGCAAGGGTGGAGTTGAATCGTCAGTTATCTACCTTGTCTAGGGAAGATGTATTTCACCAACTAACTCACTCCTTGTCAAAGACATTCACTGTTGCGTCCATCTTGGAACATGGAAGTCAGCTGCTGCTGTGATGTTTAATGTGCCAACAGCTAATTAATTGTGTCAAGTCGGTAATTATGCCTTAATCAACGAGATCTTCTTCCAGTGACCATTGTATGATGTCTGTACCTTTATATCAAAGGCGTCCATGTCTTCCATATGTGACCTTGAATCTCCATGTCAAGGTTATGTCAACTAATGAAATATGTAGCTCTTTTAAGGTAATTTACATACACAATTCAGTTATACCTTATATGTGTATATCCTTCATCTATTTTACTATTTGGACCTTTATAGTCTTAAAATTATTCAAGGAATAGTTTTATTCAAATCTATGTTATTAAATTATGTGTTAAATGTGTAAATTAAGTGAAACATGTTTATGAAGTTTGACTATTATTTTACATTTGTTAAACAGAAAAAATAAGGTGATGAAAATTTAATGTATTTTAGATACATGATGGATGTTTTTAAGGTTTTAGTGTCTTAGCTGTTTTATGATTTTTGGAATAGATTCATTTATGAGATTAACAATGTTAAGCTCAAGAAAAGCTTTGTCAGCATTGTTGGACAGTTGCTATGTGAGTATGGCAATTGTGCATTCACAAAACCAAGTAACTCTGTGTGCAATAAGCTACCTTTCAGGAGTCAATTTAATGCTTAGTACAAGCATTTCGCACAAATTTGTTTGGCATTAACATTCGAAAGGTCACTACTTTATGGAGAAAACATTTGTGTGTCATGGCTCATAACAAATCTATGCAAAAAATGATAGGGAACAAGCGAGATAATTTTCTGTTCTTAAAACACTCATAAAGAAAAGTACTGTTTTCCCTAAGTTTGATAATTACATATAAAGGTGCCTGTACACAAAAGTTTATAAAATTGTCCACTTGTAAAGTAAGGGAGATAACTCTCCCTATATGTGATGACCTTGCTTTCTGCTGACAACAATAAGATGTTCTTGTTTGTGTAAATGACAAGAATTGACACCAGTTCTTGGACAAATTCAGGGTATTTGTCAATGCATAGATCTACAGTGTTTTGTCATCTAGAAATTTGTTAAATTTGGAAAATTATTTTGTTTATTGAAGATCTCACACTCATGTAGCTCAAATTGTTGACATTTCTATGTGTGTGTAGTGCAAGTCCTTGTAAACATGGAAAGCCGTGTAATTTGTCTACTGGGAAATAGTTTCAGGAAACACGAGCTGATATACATGGAGTCCAAGACACATTCATTGCCACTGTTAAAGTCAGAGTAGGGAAACAAGTTGAACAGGTCTCATCTTTTTGTGCAATACTTCTCATCACCATATTAGAGTTTTATGTTCACAGTTATTCTCCGGTATTGAAATCACAAGGTCTATTCTGCATGCTCATTACCATGGCTGCAGCTAACCTGTTCAGTTTGTTTCCCTACTGTGACGTTGATTGATATTATATCACTGCCTCTGATCAGTCCTACACAGTAAGTGTTCAGTGGAAGAGCTGTTTTGCGCTTTCTTTTCTAAGAATTTCTACAGCAATGGTTGTCTAAAACCAGTTCGACAAAAAACAGCTCGCTCCAGATATTACGCCAAAGTTTGACAAAAAAAGAGGGTGCAATAACTCTAAATCATGTCTATACCGCCTGTACATCGTAGTTTCCATGGTAACATGTTCATGAAACATGACATTGAGACTTGCAGAAGGCTTCCATTTTTCACATTTATTACTTAAAATCATGACATTGTTGTCAACTCCAAATTTTGTTAAATCATTACATATAAGGTTATATCTAGCAATGACTTCATCTGTAATACCATTTAGACCTCACCTTAAGATAACGAGTTCGATCGTTAGTTGTTGACGAGTCTACATGTTCATCATAAATCAAGATCATCGATATTTCAGAAGTTAAACATGTTGAGTATATGGAAATATTTTGTGGCCAACATGTTTTGAAATTTATGACATCAGTTCTTTTTTTGATGTGATATACAGATGACATCATTGCTAATCAAGTTCTCAGTAGCCAGTGCAATATGTCTGTCAGGCCAGTCAACTCGCTGTCTGGCTGTCTGACAGGCCAGTCAACTCGCTGTCTGGCTGTCTGACAGGCCAGTCAACTCGCTGTCTGGCTGTCTGACAGGCCAGTCAACTCGCTGTCTGGCTGTCTGACAGGCCAGTCAACTCGCTGTCTGGCTGTCTGACAGCAGAGTTAACTGGCAATGCCAGTATGTGATGGCTATGTACATTTGTACATATTCTACACAGACCAAATAAAGGATCAGATTTTCAAACTATTGTTTAGTCTTGTTGTCAGTTTGAGTGAGTTGATGCTGTTTTATACCACAGCTGTAGTGAGTGTGTGAGTGAGTTTAGCTTTATGCAGCACTCAGCAATATGGCAGCGGTCTGTAAATAATCAAGTCTGGACCAGACAATCCATCGATCTATGCAATTGTGATACAATGACAAGTCAGCGAGCCTCACCACCCGATCCGTTAGTCGCCTCTTGCAACAAGCATGGGTTACTGAAGATCAATTCTAACCTGGATAATCTTGTAACAGAATGATGTTAATGTCTGCAACTGATGCAGGGATCTGAGGTTAGGACATAGTCACAGACTTCCAGACATGACTTTAATGTTTGGCATCATATGATATAATATACACAACACAGGTGCTGACAGAAGACAGCCATGACCACACTGACGCCATAGAGTGTTTTCATTCGGTAGGTCATATATGTCTGACATTTTATCCATGTTCATCTACATGATACTGGTTTCATGGGGCGGAGGGGTAGCCTAGTGGTTAAAGCGTTCGCTCGACATGCCGAAGACCTGGGTTCGATTCCCCACATGGGTACAATGTGTGTAGCCCATTTCTGGTGTACCCTGCTGTGATATTGCTGGAATATTGCTAAAAGCAGCGTAAACCATACTCGCTCACTCATTCATGGTAGCATCACAATACCAAAATCAATGTGTTCAATGCTATGACATCACAATGGTAAAACACTGAATCTACACAATACTGCACCATTGCGTCACTTGCTTAGAGGGTTCCTTAAAACTCTGTTTTGTCCAAGTGTCAAACATGGTTTCGTAGAAAGGTGCAACCTCCACCATTGTGTCACTTGCTTAGGGTGTTGTGTCCAAGTGTCGAACAAGGTGTCCTCGGAAGTTGAAGACTCCACCATTGTGTCACTTGCTTAGGGTGTTGCTAAAACTGTGTTTTGTCCAAGTGTCAGGAACTGTATCTGGTGGTGCTGGTGACTGCTGTGTTTTCCTGCAGAATGTGTCAGCAGAATGCATACAGTAGACAGTCCTCGGTGGGTAGAGCTGACACCGGCACAAGTGACAACACAGGGGCCGGGGCACAAACACCCTGCAGGGCCTCCAGTAATACTGAAACAGTCATCACAGGAATACAATCTCCCTTGACAATACATTAATTGTCTTGCATAACCTCCATGTAGTTACCAATTTTAATAATATTGAAGTTAATATAACACTTTTATATTTTTTGCGTTTACGGAAGTGAAAATGCAAATAGTGCTGTGCATCCCTATAGCACACACCCAGTACTATCCACTCTCCTAGCATGGCAAGGGAACACTGTCACTGCTGGCCCGTACATCCCTATAGCACCTCCTAGCATGGCAAGGGAACACTGTCACTGCTGGCCCGTACATCCCTATAGCACACACCCAGTACTATCCACTCTCCTAGCATGGCAAGGGAACACTGTCACTGCTGGCCCATACATCCCTATAGCACACACCCAGTACTATCCACTCTCCTAGCATGGCAAGGGAACACTGTCACTGCTGGCCCGTACATCCCTATAGCACACACCCAGTACTATCCACTCTCCTAGCATGGCAAGGGAACACTGTCACTGCTGGCCCGTACATCCCTATAGCACACACCCAGTACTACACCACTTTCCAAGCATGGCAAGGGAACACTGTCACTGCTGGCCCGTACATCCCTATAGCACACACCCAGTACTACACCACTCTCCTAGCATGGCAAGGGAACACTGTCACTGCTGGCCCGTACATCCCTATAGCACCTCCTAGCATGGCAAGGGAACACTGTCACTGCTGGCCCGTACATCCCTATAGCACACACCCAGTACTATCCACTCTCCTAGCATGGCAAGAGAACACTGTCACTGCTGGCCCGTACATCCCTATAGCACACACCCAGTACTACACCACTCTCTTAGCATGGCAAGGGAACACTGTCACTGCTGGCCCGTACATCCCTATAGCACCTCCTAGCATGGCAAGGGAACACTGTCACTGCTGGCCCGTACATCCCTATAGCACACACCCAGTACTATCCACTCTCCTAGCATGGCAAGGGAACACTGTCACTGCTGGCCCGTACATCCCTATAGCACACACCCAGTACTATCCACTCTCCTAGCATGGCAAGGGAACACTGTCACTGCTGGCCCGTACATCCCTATAGCACACACCCAGTACTATCCACTCTCCTAGCATGGCAAGGGAACACTGTCACTGCTGGCCCGGTGACATCCCTATAGCACACACCCAGTACTACTCCACTCTCCTAGCATGGCAAGGGAACACTGTCACTGCTGGCCCGTGCACATCCCTATAGCACACACCCAGTACTATCCACTCTCCTAGCATGGCAAGGGAACACTGTCACTGCTGGCCCGGGTGCATCCCTATAGCACCTCCTAGCATGGCAAGGGAACACTGTCACTGCTGGCCCGCATATCCTTATAGCACACACCCAGTACTATCCACTCTCCTAGCATGGCAAGAGAACACTGTCACTGCTGGCCCGTACATCCCTATAGCACACACCCAGTACTACACCACTCTCTTAGCATGGCAAGGGAACACTGTCACTGCTGGCCCGTGCATATCCCTATAGCACCTCCTAGCATGGCAAGGGAACACTGTCACTGCTGGCCCAGACATCCCTATAGCACACACCCAGTACTATCCACTCTCCTAGCATGGCAAGGGAACACTGTCACTGCTGGCCCGCACATCCCTATAGCACACACCCAGTACTATCCACTCTCCTAGCATGGCAAGGGAACACTGTCACTGCTGGCCCTGCACATCCCTATAGCACACACCCAGTACTATCCACTCTCCTAGCATGGCAAGGGAACACTGTCACTGCTGGCCCGTTACATCCCTATAGCACACACCCAGTACTACTCCACTCTCCTAGCATGGCAAGGGAACACTGTCACTGCTGGCCCGTACATCCCTATAGCACACACCCAGTACTATCCACTCTCCTAGCATGGCAAGGGAACACTGTCACTGCTGGCCCGTACATCCCTATAGCACCTCCTAGCATGGCAAGGGAACACTGTCACTGCTGGCCCGTACATCCTTATAGCACACACCCAGTACTATCCACTCTCCTAGCATGGCAAGGGAACACTGTCACTGCTGGCCCTAGAGTTATTGATTCAATAACGAGGCGTACAACTTTATGGGTAACAATTCCTTCTTTATTGCATAGAGCAACGTTTTGATGTAGATTCTTACACCATTATCAAATGAAGTGGCATCACTTGATAACCGTGTAAGAATCTACATCAAACCATCGCTCTATACAATAAACAAGAAGCTGTTACCCATAAAATCGTTATCCATAAAGGTGTATGCCTGATTATTGCATCTACAGGTGAGATTGATTTTTCAGCACCTGCTACTTACATGTGTATCCTGAATATTCATACCTATTACACAAGGCTGAATAATGGCACCTGAGATGTACAAATCTCACTGGTCCACTCCATTATGTCCGTGCTTCCAGATGGTTCTTTTGCTTTTGAAATAGGATAATTAACCTCAGAATTAATTCTTACATTTTTTGGGTGTGAAAGACTGTAATACTTGTTGTAATACCGTGATTTACACCGTCAGGTGTGTGGTAGTATTACCTGATGATATTGTCGTGTATGGCCCCAGGGTGTCGGGGAAGAAAACTCTCAACATGGATACAACCTCCCAGCTGAGATGCAGATCTGTCAGCATTGTGGTGTACAGCCTCAACAGTTCAGCTACACTCTGTCGGAGGGCTGACATGCCCCTCTCACCTCCCACTGCAGAGAAACATACACAGACATCATCTACTGTACGTTATAGGGTAACATGCCCCTCTCACCACCCACTGCAGAGAAACATACATAGATGTCATCTACTGTACGTTATAGGGTAACATGCCCCTCTCACCACCCACTGCAGAGAAACATACATAGATGTCATCTAATGTTACTGGATATTGTTTAATCTCAGCTATGCCAACCTAGTCAACACACTGTATGCAGTAGGTCTATGTAATATACTGAATCAGGATACTTTTACAAAAATTAACAAGATTCACCCATCTTGCTACATTTTGTGGGTTTGAATCCCAGGTTTACCCTGATGGGTAATGGGTACACAGTTTTACTGAAGTTGAAAAAATTCATGATCTGTGTCGCTATCACTACCAGTGTCTTCACTGACCTGATTGACCAGTCAAATTGAAAAAGATGGCACCCATCTGTAATTGATTGGTGATAAGAAGTTCAAGGATAATTTTAAGGAATACCAAGGTGTATCACAGACTCTCGTTTACCTAGGCAGAGATCTATGTTGACAAGGTGACCAGTTAAAACATTGCACAAAAATAAGTTTCTCAGTCGAGCAGTGATCTTTGTAAAATAGTGAGCTGTTAAAATGCTGGAACAGAGATCGGTCTCAGTCTGTCTCCATTCAATAGTTTAAGGGTTCACCTATTAACATAAATAGATTACTTATTGTCTGTGAGATCTGATTGTATTTGATAAGGTGAGGTGTTCAATATCTGAAGAGCGCAGCCAGAAGATGCTTTGTGGAGCCTATCATCAAAGGGAGATAACCCTACAGTGAACACTTTCTTACACTACACAGGCTGTCTCATACAGTGGGCCCAAATTCTGCCTAATATGGAACATGTTCCTTTTATCTTACCTATTGTTGCCTTTGAAGAGAAGAAGTGTTTTTCTGTATTACTGAAACAATAATCCACTGATATTTTCGTTCGGTTATCTTGAAGTATGGATTTACTTCCATCTGCAACAAAGTACAATATCATAAATCGAACACATCAGGATCATGATTTCATAGTTAATTTTAACCACTTCCAGAAACACAAATTCTAGAAGCCTGACTATTGTGATGTGAAGATGGGTGTCTTTGAGATAAATCAGCATCACCCAATCACACTGATTCAGGGAGGACTATGAAATGTGACTACATTTTGAAGCCTTCTGCCTGTGCGTATTGGCTGTCAATTACTGTCCACCACCACTATAAACCTCTTTGATACAGGGAAGTGGTGTAAATAGCAACATGGGCCGGGTGTGTTTAGAGATCTGGACTGTCCTTTTGTCTGAACAGTCATGCACCAATGAGTGAAGGCCATTTCTGGTGTCCCCCACCGTAATATTGCTGGAATATTGCTAAAAGCGGCGTAAAACTAAACTCACTCACTCACTCATGCACCAAATGCCAGTGTTGGTTGTTGGGGCAGTCAGTTACTAGTGGATACGGTGTATCATGCAACTGTATCCTGTATCCTTTGCCCAGGACTGACAATGTACGACCCAAGTATACTAGCTACATAAAGAAACTGTGCACACAGAAAATTCCTTCAGAATTGGAATACAACACAAAAAAGATGACATGATGTAGACACTTTATAAGCTGAAGTATCAGGCCTCAACAACATGTCAAAAGAACATGAACAATATCCGTAACGATGATGTCAGAAGTTCAAAATTGAGTCGGGGGTCACATGTCGAAGACACAAAGTCAATAACGGGTATGACCATCATGCGCGTGAAGCACAGCAGTGCATCGACGACACATAGAGGCTACCAAATTTTCCAAATGAAGGCCTGGGGAATGGTTTGGGACGTGGTCACTGCCGTCTGGAACCTGTGTCTGATATGAGTCACCCGAATCAATCTGTCCTGTCTTGGCGTCGTTACTCGGGGACGCCCAGTCATTACTGTTTCCCTAACCCCTGACCAATGCAGATATCGTGTTCCGATGGCATTGGAAATGTGCTGCCACCTGTTGTTGGCTCATGCCTGATTGAACCATTCCAATGGCTTCATGACGCTGAGCACATGTTAATCTTGGCATGATGTGCATGTGACTTTTCATGTGAATTTGTGAACGTTTGAATGACCAAAGATCACGCTTTCGACAGTGACATCAATTTCTGAGTTTCACATGTTGTGTGCAGCTGCACAGGCTGCAAGTGCAGTAACACATTGCAAGTCCATAGGCCACCATCAAAGACGTCACGTCGCCTGGCACCTGCTAAGGGTTTGATTGTCTCCAATACTTGCTATGTTCACACCTTTATTTATGCATAAAGACGCTGTCTGCCTATCTTTATTTTTTCTGTGTGCACAGTTTCTTTATGTGGCCAGTATATATGGGTCTATTCTGTCTCAGACTGGGGGAAGTGTATCAATGGCGGTCAGCTAGATGCAGCTCTCCCATGGACACAGATCCAGACAGGATAGGCAGGCATGTTGATATGACTTCATAACTACAAGAGGCAGAACAAAAAACTCAGTGCCCCCTCCAGACAACCTGGTCACCAACTCCATTTTTGGAGTTTCAGTTTCAGATTCAGATTCAGTTTCAGTCTATTCAGTACTTCTGGCCTTAAGGCCTACATTACAATTGTTGTTGTTACAAAAATATTTTGCAAGTCACGTGAACATATGGTTACATTCATGGTTACATTTATGGCTACGCACAGTGAAAACATGTTTGAGATAAATTGCTACAGACTTAACCATCTTTGGAGTTTGACTAATGGCAAAGCCCAGGACAGCCACAAAGCTCTCAAAGGATTGGATGTTATGAAGGCCAGAGAGCAAACTTGGTAAGTAAGCAGTGTGGCATCACATTGGATCCGCCAAGGTTGATAAGTGGTAGAAACCAGGTGGTGTGCCTGGTACGCAGAGACCACACGATACCACATTGCAACATTCCTGTTCCTCGCACCTGGCTAGATGATTAGGCTGTGCTGCCATTCCTCTATGAGGCATATATCACAGAGTTAGCCATTGATGGGCTGAGTTGAAATGGGCCACTTAAGTATGTGCAAGGAACATAAAATGTGGAAAAATGAGTAAGTGAGTCAAGTTTAACGCCGCTTTTAGCAATATTCTAGCAATATCATGGCGGGTGACACCCAAAATGGCCTTCACACATTGTACCCATGTGGGGAATCGAACACAGGTCTTCAGCGCGACGAGCAGACGCTTGAACCATTGGGCTACCCCCACCGACCCAAAATATGGAATAAAATCAAAATACATTGCTAAACACAAATACCATATATAACGAATGCACAATGCAGAAATCAATACCATATTCCCTTAATATACGACATGCAATTATGTCAGTGTTTATAGTTACCTGTGAGGAGTGTTGACCCTGTGTATACCTGCACCTGCCACTCCACCACAGCGTCTCGCGGCAGACGGGGAACCACCACAAACCCCAGCATTGGTTCATGATCACTCACCTCCTCCCCATACTCCCGTCCTGGAACAAACATCATAAACCTACTGTGACATCTCCTTTATTCTTCACAGCTACTTCAACTTTGTTGTGAGACTCAAATAATTCAATATTTAGTATTCCTCATGGGCATAACTACCTACCAGCTAATTTCAATTATCATAAAACCTTTCCATATAAACCATAGTATCATCCACATTTGTCTACGGTTCCTATGGAGACAAGTCCACAGTCATTATGTACAGCTTTTCCACTGGATAGTAGATTGGTGAACAAAATGACAAAATACACACAGAATCTTATGACTCTAAAATGTGCATAGCCCATCAGCGACAGTTAGGGACTGTTCATAATTAACGGCTTGGGAGGGTTATGACAATCTTAAGTGGGGTTACCCATTTTGTTCTGGGATGGTATGGGGATCATAAATTGTGTACTCATGTACTAGGGGGAGGACAGCAATTTTTTTTATTATTTATTTTCTTCTTTTTTTGGGGGCAGTGGGGGTGGTTTTTTGGGTCATTCACATTGTACATGCTTCTCCATGAGAATCAGCATCACTCCCCCTAGCCATCAACACAGCACACTAATCTAATTTACATCATGTTAACTAAATGTTTGGGCAAAAGATCAATGGTAACTGCACCTGACAACTTTGGATAATTCCCAAAATGTTCTGATAGTGTGGAGACCATTTTGACATTTCAAACTTTAAATTTATTGTGTTACAGCACACTATCTCTGTCACAGACTACTGAGTGAGTGAGTATGGTTTTACGCCGCTTTTAGCAATATTCCAGCAATATCACGACAGGGGACACCAGAAATGGGCTTCACATGTTGCACTCATGTGGGGAATTAACCAGGGTCTTCGGCATGACAAGCAAACACTTTAACCACTGGGCTACCCCACCACCCCACTGACTACTGAGGTAGCTCATAACAGACATTGGTAGACCATTAACTCCCCGCTCAGTTACCTGTGTTTTGCTGACAGCCTGTCTCCACTCTCTCCTTGCCACAGGAATGAATTCAGTCGATGTAACATAGCATATGGCGTTTGTTACATGGGACAGTCTGTATCCAGGATGCATTGCTGCGAGAACTCTTCTGACATGGCGGAGGGAAAGTCGACACTCGGGCACAATTCCACCTGGGATGATGGTCAAGGAAGATGGACAAAGGGCGATCTGACCAGCCACAGCTATTCTGTCCTGTACCTGAATAAACACAGAACTTCAACACTCCAAACATCCAGGACGGACATTGTCTTGAATTCCTGTTCAACCCAATTATGTTTCTACGTGTGTCAGCACCATACCCGAGATTTTTGGTTTCAACAAGTGGTTAACATAAGTGCTCTGCATCACTTCAGGCTTTCTTCCAACATTCAGCTGTCACACCATGATATAACTGGATCCTGTACAAATCAAGTTCACTCACCCACTCCAAGACTGACAAACATGTGAGTGAATGTTTTTCAAGTGCAACAATTTTATTGACAAGAGAAAGTACATGAAATCCATTGATCGGTTTTGATGCCAAAAGAAGGTCATTGGTTCCAAGAGTTACAGAGGACATGAGAAGCCACATGGCACAAGCCTATTGGTTCTGATAACATAAGAAGGTACACAGGACCATTTTATTGGTTTTAATGACAGTGAGTGAGTGAGTATGGTTTTACGCTGCTTTTAGCATTATTTCAGCAATATCATGGAGGGGTACACCAGAAATAGGCTTCACACATTGTTAACATGTGGGGAATTGAAACCTGGGTCTTCGGTGTGAGGAGCGAACACCCTAACCACTAGGCTACCCCAGGTTTTCCATGAGGTAGATATATCTGTTTCATGATCTGTTAATAGCTTCTCCCAACTGGGCTGATACTTACATGAAGGGTACCCCCGGTTTTACATGAGGTAGATACAGTGAAGCCTCGTTAATCCGGACGGTTGCGTTTCTCAGCAAATTTGTCCGGATTGCGAATAGTCCGGACTACTGAATCAAGACCCAAGTTCAAGCAAGAGTTGCTTCCCTTACTATTACAAAAACGACACGAATCTGGATAAAACAAATAAGCATTTAATGTAAAGCTTATAAAACAATGAATAGCAAGCACAACAATAATCTATAGTCATAGCAAAAAGTCTTTCATTGTTGTTTGTGTTCGTTTAACCTTCCTCATTGAATTCATCACATGAATAATTTTACCGAGTGACATCCGCATGTTGATCCGACGTGTCTGATCACGTCCTTCCTCAGCACAGGTGAGGTAATGTCTAACAAGCGATCTATTGTAGTATGCCTTGTCCGAATTATTCCTGCATCCATCGGTTGAATATGAGACGTGGTATTTGGTCACATTTCGCAAAGTTAGCGAAGCACACTTGTGACTTGCAGCGTTGTCGAGAAGCAAAATCACTTTAAGTCCACGTGACCGCATCTGTCTGTCAAAGTACATTAACCAATCACAAAACAGCTCACTTGTCATCCACGCCTTTGTATTGTGGTGTCAATCAAAGTGTAAATGTACAGCATCTTCAGTCGGGAGCTTTTAATGTCTAATTAAAACAACAACCCTTAATATACATTTCTCAAAAGTTAACAAGAGTTCATCTTGTCAACTCCATGACACCGAGTTTTTATTGTTTATGGCCAGTTAAGTAAACATCGCAGTGGGGTGCTGTTTTGGTTCGTGAACACAACTTACAGCGTCCGGACTGTGAAGCAATTTACTGTTTATTTTACTGATTGGTTACAGCTACTTACCGTCCAGTTCCGGAAACCGAATTTCCGGATTATCGAGGCAAATTAAGTAAGCATAGATTGGTAACAAGCTAAAATCGTCCGGGAGGCGAGACATCCGGATTATCGGAGTCCGGACTAACGGGGCTTCACTGTATATCTGTTTCATGAAGATATATCTGTTTCATGACCTGTTAATAGCTTCTCCCACTGGGCTGATACTTACATGAAGGCTACACCCGGTTTTACATGAGGTAGATATATCTGTTTCATGATCTGTTAATAGCTTCTCCCACTGGGCTGATACTTACATGAACTGCCTGACTGTATGGGCCGATGTTTGCAGACGCCCAGTGTGAGATGCTCTGAACATGCATGGTGTCCTTAACGTCATCATCTCCCTCAGAAACATATCCATGACAGTCAAGAATCAGTGCAGCATTCACTGGATTAGATGCCTGGACACAGACCCTTGGGGAGATAAACTGAGAGTTAGACATCTGAACACTGAGGATCTGAATACACTAAGATTTAGCATCTGAACACAAACCGTGGACAGGATATGGAACAGACTTCTAATGATCTAACACCCAATTTTGTGAATGAGAATAATAGAGGTTCTGCAGTCCTGGTTTATTGTGCCCCAATAATGAATGATCTCCATGGAATAAATCAGCATAAAGCATTAACTGACCTGACTGGGGGGTTGATGGTGAAGTAGGTTTTGTACACCGAGTTGACTCAGGCAAAGTCAGCCATGTTCTGGACGTACAGACACACAGACACCAGGTCAGCCATGTTCTTTCCAAGTTTCTCAACAGACTCTGCAATTTAGAAATGGTAATAAAACACACATTGGGCTGTACTTTGCAGATCCTGAAATTCATCCTCATAATTAAAAACAAGGTTTTCCAGCTTAAACCTATTTAATGATCTGACCAAGAAGATATTGCACCTCCCTCAGTTGAGAATGAGCTCACCCTTCAGTTTGTTCATGATTTTTCGAGTGACATCCTCTATACACTCTCCATCAATTGCCATGGCAACCAGACCCGTGACATAAAACCACTTCTGACATACATATGTCTGCACCTCAATACTGTCTGAAATACAAAAATGAACGATGGTTACCATAAAGAATGAGGACAGTTTTATATGATATACAACTTCTGTATTTTGTATAGGTGACGGTTTGACATAAAACTGTCCTCATTCTTCATATCCTCAACTTCTAGAACGCCAATCAAAGATGTTACCATAGCCACCAATATATATGTACAGGTAATATGGATATGACAGAATACTTTATACACAGTGTCCATGTTATAATATACACTGGTAGTAGATCCTGCTGATTGAACTCGGTAACAAACTGCTGTGCTGTACAGTGGCTGACAGAATGATAGCAGGACATCATTCATATCTGCCCTTTGGTATCTCACCACTGGAAATGGCATGATGTGTTCAACTGAGTGAGTGTACATTCTGCAACTGTCCCGCTGTATCATGATGCTATTTCCCTGAAGCCAATGTGACTGATTTAGTGATACGAACATTGACTAGTCTACTGACGTTTCAAATCACCTACCATAAATACTGTCCGTTGATTGCTTGCTTATTTGGGATGGACAGGGGGGTATTTCTGAAAACTCTTGTCTCTCTTCCTCTGTGAAGAGTTCCGATAGAAGGTCACAACCACGGGTCATTGGCAGGGAATGAAGGTACTCCCTGTCTGACTGTCCCTTGAAAAACAAACCTGATGCATTAACGAAGAGTGAGTGCGTGAGTCAGTTTAGTTTTACGCCGCTTTTAGCAATATTCCAGCATTATCACGGCGGGGGACACCAGAAATGGACTTAACAGCATTAACGAAGAAACCACATAAGATACTTGCAAGGCTTTACTGACAATGTTATGAATTACTTACATTAATACACATTGAAATTACTGGAGATACTAGTCTAAACAATCCAGGTGACTTTGGTGAACCTGGGGGTGATGCTGGTAGACAGAAGGTAATTTATCAGGGCAAATCTGGGATTCATTCCATGACCAGCAGATCCTGCATACTAAGGGAGGTAACTCTGCACGCAAGTTCCAGCTTTCAGATCACCTGGGCACTTTTGTACATGCTTGTACTTGGAAACGTTAGGTTGGCATTGAGCTCATAACATTTAAAGTTCAGGATGCAAGGAAAGTTTCAGGTTCTAATTGTTTGAGATGAGCGTTTTACCAAACAAGGTTTATCTTCAAGGTGGATTTTCTTGAGATTGAGGTAGCCGACTGGTGCAAATGCATCTTCAGAATGAATGACAGTTTCAGTCTGATCTCTGAAATACAGACAAAACTCAGATAGAGGATCAAGTGGGATACTGGGAAGCCCTTTTCTTCACACACATACAGTAATAACACTGATTCTGATTGGCTGTTGTTGTGATTACTCATCTAATCAGTGCTGACTTAGCAAGTGAACTGACATCTTAAATATAATCATATTATTTCAAATATAGAATGTAACATTCTTGACGAAAGTTATGTTACTTTTTAAATCAAATGGAATACATGCACGCACGCACACAAATTCCCTCTTCTCCAAAATCATGGATCCATTCCTGCACCTATATGGACTATCATATATATGCAATAAAGATCACTAAAGAATAAGAAACCCACAAAAAGTCCTTCCCTCAGTAAGAGTATGATTCAAGGTCCTCACACAACTAGCTTCTTCTTGAACAAGGGGCAATCAAGGGTGAAGGTCTCAAACTCGCCTCCCTCTCCACAGACGTGGAGGCCATAGTCACTTTCCTGGATAACAAGACAGAGCTGATACAGAGATAAATGCCCTTTAGATATATATATGAAGATTTACTAGTGGAACACAAGAATCATTTTAATCCTTGTTAGTACCATGTTATGAACAGGGTGTAACTTTAAATATGTAGCTACTGGGCATCATGTTAAACAAAGAAGTGTAGTTAATAACAGAGGAGTTACCATGGATACTGTTGTTGCCTTACCATTTTCAGCATGTGTGGGTAGATGTCAGCTAAAGACTTTCCCAGGTGCTTCTGTGGATCTAAACCTGTAACAATACATCAGTATTTTCATATTAGTTAAAGCCTGTATCTCTATTACAAAGCTAGAGACAAAGCCAACTGCTAAAACTAAAGCATTGTAACAAACAGTGGCTCTTGACTGTTCCACAAAACAGTAACAAAACACACTGAGAGACAAATTGTGCAAAGTGCCATATATTGATGGATAGAAATAGAGTCAAGCATTTGAACTATATCATCATACGAATGGTCTACCTTTGACAAATCAGGACAACATAACTAAGTGAAGGAGACATTTACGCACCGAGTGCCGCCACTTTGATGATGATAGACTCTACATGACAGTCAATCATTTCCTTCATCAGCTCTTTTTGATTCCGTCTCCATAGAAACCCAAGAGATGTCAGACCCAGTCTCTGGCAGCTGAAATTACAAAATGCATTAAGCTTTCTTTGTGAACAGGGGCGGTGGGGTAGCCTAATGGTTAAAGCGTTGGCTCGTCACGCCGAAGACCCGGGTTCGAATCCCCACATGGGTACAATGTGTGAAGCCCATTTCTGGTGTCCCCAGCCGTGATGTTGCTGGAATATTGCTAAAAGCGGCGTAAAACCAAACTCTGTCAGTCAGTCAGTCTTTGTGAACACAATCTATACAAAAATTAGTACAACCAGTTTATGAGCTGGATATCTTAAGCATATTTTCACAAGAAGAAGGGAGAACTGTATCGCTTTACACCTTGACTTACATATTCTCCACTCGCACCCTCTGGTAGTCAGACAAAATAGCGCCCACAGACACACCCTCAATACAAGTCTCTGTCTGAAAGAAGAAAAAATTATTAACAACAACTGCAAGGTGTAAACATTAACCATGACAGAATATCTTGAGAAAAAAGAATACTAAACAATTGTAAACAAATTAGCCTCAGCTTGTTTTCATGTTTTGATATGCCGTAGTAAGCAACATTCCAGCCATATTAAGCCAAAGTTATTGAGTCTGGGGCAGGAAAATCAATGGATGATAGCATGATCTTTCCCTATGACATCTATGTATGATGACTCACAAAAAGCTAACTCTTTGAGTCTGACCACTAAATCCTCATTTCAGTTGGATCTAAAAGCATGACCAATCAAACCCAAATATAGTCGCTCTTACCACAGGCATGATATTTTAGAGGTAAGTAAATAGTGCAACTGAAGTTTCAGTCAAATTAGTTTTTTTCCAATACATAAACACTACAAATATGTACCTTCACCGTTTTAAGAAGCTCGTATAGGTCTTCCACCTCATCATCAGTTGTAGGGGAGTAGTATTTCCCAATCTGCTTGGAGGAGCCCTCTATGACCCTCCTATAGAGAGGGAGGGACATTGCCTCGGCATACATCTCCACTGCATGGTGGCCCACAGTCTGGTACATGTAACTATCCAGCTCATCTAAACACACACAACACTCACATGATGTCATCATATGTAGCTGGTTTTAAACGGCTGGTATAAATGAACTCTTAGATTATTAAATCTTTGTTTGTGTTCTTTCCCATTGGGGAATTAAAAAAAAAAAAAAGTTTTAAATTTATGCATATTTATGTATTTTGTACATTATTATCAATATTTCATGAAAAGGGAAAATATTATTATCACTTCCATCATCATTGTTATTATTTTACAAGGAAAAAACATGATTGATTCTGTCATTGTTGAATACAGTTACTTGAAACTGACTTGGGTCCAGTAGACAGGAGGAACCAAATGACAATGGATGTGCGGCCAAAAACTTCAGAGGGAATATTTGAGTGTTTTTAATACATGTATTTCAGTTACTTTATTCATGCCCTACTGACGGAGTAGGAACATACATTTGATACCAAATGTACACATCACATTTGTTTACATGCTTCACTATTTCACATCTCACATATTTCACATAATTCACCTGTATATCACATTCATGGCACAATGACTTCTTTGATGTCTGTAGTGGCAAGTGATTATAACATCCTTTTCATCAAGTGACAATAATCTGATTTTTATTTTCTTCATCCAGCATTATATATCTTGACTCAGATGGTTGGTTTGAAATTTAGAGGTGTATTAAATATAAATGATGCTCTTTGTCTACAGTGAATCAGTCTACCTCTGTCCTTGGGTTGTAGGTTAGCAAGTGCTACGATGTCATGTCCTTCCGACACACACTGCATCATGTTGTAGCAGCTGTCCTTGCCTCCGCTGTAAACAAATACACACATAAAACCAGGTGGCACTGTTGTATTTCCTGGCATTACCAAAATGATAGATGTCAAAATTAGGTAACATAAAAATACACAAACATACAAATAGTGAGTATGGTTTTACGCCGCTTTTAGCAATATTCCAGCAATATCGCTGCGGGGAACACCAGAAATGCGCTTCACACATTGTACCCATGTGGGGAATCGAACCCGGGTCTTCGGCGTGACAAGCGAACACTTTAACCACTAGGCTACCCCACCGCCCCAAAACATACAAATAAAAGTAGGATGTCTTCCTATAGGTAAGATATATAGTGAACTACATTTATAAGGAACTCAAAACTCAAAATGACATTTTTTCAGCAGAACTGCCATGGCATATGGTAAGTGCATGGGATGCTTGGGAGTATTCCATTTAACTGATTCATGTTTATTATTCATCAAGAGAATTTATTATTCTTAATAGAAATGTTGCACAATGGATGAATATGCCTCTAATCTTTGCCAATTCTGTTTCTCTTAGTTATGATACCAAAGGAGATTCTTTTTCATTTTAAATATTTTACAACTAAACCATACTAACTTTAACTTTAATATTTCAACAGAAAATTACTGATTCTCCCACTGGTTGTGTTGGTTGTTTCACGACTATAAACATGTGTTTCTTCTTGACGCTTTACATTAACATTAATGTTTGTTTTAACTCCACACTCTGCAATATTCTTGGCATATGGTAGTCTGTAAATAATCAGGTCTGGAGCAGACAATCCAGTGATCAACATCATGAGCATCAATCAACGCAATTGGGATACAATGACATGTGTCAACCAACTCGGCGATCCTGCCCACCCGATCCCGTTAGTCGCCTGTTATGACAAGCATGGGTTGCTGAAAACCAATTCTAACCCGGATCTTCACGGGTCGTAACATTAATTAACTGTATTGTAGTGATGATATCTACAAATATCCATATGCATATGCTAAAAATGTCGACAATCAATGTTATCAATCGAAACAACAAACTTGCGTCTTCATTTGTTTAGACTGCATACGAAAGCGTTAATATGTGATGGGTAACATAGTGTAACGTGTTATGGGCTATAACCTGATAAGCGCTACGACTTTCATTGTGATGAGTGGGACAACCCTGATCGCACCCTAAAATCAAAACACTGCCATGTGTTTGTACCGGAAGGAAATAGATTTCGTAATGACTGCGCATGCGTGGAGCGGATATCCACGTCTGAACGTTTGTTGCAAGAAGTTGTTGATTTTCAATGAAATCTCATATCTAGTTGCTATAGGTAACGTTTGATGTAATTTTATGGTGTTTTAGACTTGTTTATACAGTTTGTGTAGTGATATAACATTTTTGTCACTCATTTTGATGAATGTAAACAACGAAGCGAGCACCTACACTCTATTTCCTTCTTTCTCAGTCAATGACAGCACAAAACATTTTCATTACTTTCAGTTTTACGATTCTGTCAATTTTGACAATTTGTTTTACTGCTTAAGCTACGTTGCATACTGAACCCTAGTTAAACTTGCCCTTATGCAGATACTAATATGTGTGATATCAGTTGAAATAGGCGCAGGTATGTGACCATAACAAACAGGCCGTAATAATCCCTGAACCATTCTGAATGGCATATTCAGTCGATACAAGATTTTTGATTTTTACTTGTCCGCAATTCTAATAAATGTTATAGCTTTTTCATGCTTGGAGTAATACGTTTTCAGACTAGGGTTTCTTTAATACAGCAAAAGTAACTACTTTTTTCTCAAAAATTGATTTCACATGTTGTAGACTGAAATGGGACCATTTTGTTTGTTTACAAACGATATACATGTTTGTCCATGTTCACAAAGATATGGTATCACTAGACCCTCTATTATCGTGGTAGTTAATGTTGTTGCCATCGGGATTATGAACGGCTACTGCCATCTAGCATTTTATATATATTTTCAGTTGACTGTTGTTTAATCTTCATTTCTGTCACAAGTAATGTGACACATGGTCGCAACTCGTTTAATACCATTGCGGCAATTCCGATTGTTTCGTTTGACCCGGAAATTGAAGCAACTCTCTATTATCGCGGTATTGCTATTTTCTTACTATGGCACGCGGAACAAGCAGATGACACTGTGAAACGTTTACAAAGACAAGTAACAAATCTAAATAGTTTGATCATTTAAAAATATTTAGGAATTTCATTCACATTAGTAATATCATCATGTTTTTAACCCAAACATCTGAAACTTCTATTCATTTGGATACAAGGTAACAATAACGTTACAAAATATTGTATTTCCGGCTTAAAACGTACCATACAAGTTGCTGCCGTGTGCAGAGTGAAGTTGCATAAATACGTCACTTCCTGTTATATTTTTAGCACGGAAAATACGCAATTCTGCCATGAATCAAGAAAATACTAGATTCTGATTGGCTGTTCAGAAAAATCAGACAGCATCAATTGTGGATTGACGCTCATCTGATTGTAAGGCCGCTTCACCGCGCATTAACAAATCTTATTGTGAGAACTACTTCCGTTTGACCACAATGATGGCGGATCATAACAACAACTCCATGGATTTTGACGCTGACTTTCGAATTTTCCACATAGGCATTTGGAAATGTTTGGATTAAAAATGCGTTTGATTTCATTGCGCTTCACTGCACACGTATAGAACACTGCCGCACTACTTTGGCTTGACCACCAACATGACTAATATCAACACAACAGACGTGATGGAAATGCTGATAAAACATTTATTTAAACTCGAAAAATACAATTATATGATTTCCCCCACACAATTATGAGGGACCTCACTATCATATTACCTTCTATTATAAAAATATTCAAACTCAATTAGATCTACAATACACAGCCCCAAACATAAACAAAACAATATCTAACATATAAATCAGAAAGCCTTGTAAAAATACATCCCTATCTATACAAAATATGCAGCAAAACATTAATAAACATTTACCTACCTGGTAAATGGTATATTTAATTCCGTTTAGAATGGGAAATTTGCAAGATAGATCTAACGGTCTGGCGAAACACCACATTTATGCCACTCATAGTCATACTCCATCATATCCCGTTGCATCGTTCACAAAATAATTCTGTTCTCTGCCAGCTTCCCCGCAAGGTTGTCACTGTTATGTTCATCTACTTTGAAAACGCTTGGACACAGTCCAGTCCCAAACGATGAAAACAAAGTTCCAAGGAATCACAAGTTAGTCGCATGTACACTAAGCAGCAGCACTGTCACACTTTTGTCGCATGCCGGGTGGAGGCAGTACACGTGAAATCATGATCGGCCGGGTCATAAAAATCAACAGTCTTTGATGTGTTACAGGTCGTAGGTTGATCAGGAAAGGATCTATTCTTCGATTCTGCAGGGTTCAGATTCGACAGTCAGTCAAGTATTGTCCACTGTCTCTTCAAATTTCAACCTTTAGCGAAAATGTAAACACTGGCTCGTCCGCCCATTTCAAACTGTTATGCGTAACTGTCTACTTCAAGAAAATAAGTAGGTCAGACGATTCCATTATAGTGTGGCCAGGGGGTACAGTTTCACGGCACACAAAACAATAGGCTGGTTTTAGTCGTGGTTGAGTTGGGATGAAAAAAACCAAGATCTCGGGGTATTACATAATTGCATTGAATAAACAGTAGTTTGATTTCTTTGGACAGAATATTGTTATGTTGTAATGTTAAAAAATACTCTAACGGCACCTACCGTTCCTTTCACAGAGCGAGTTCAATTAAGCCTCTCGGTCCCATGCCGGATTACGCGGTGTCTTCCATGAGAGCGAGGAAGTTCGATTTTAAATGGGTCATGGTAGAATGGATATAACCCTAGTGTGTTTGAAAATCAGAGACATGCTTTACTGAATTGATGGCGACTAAATATTTCAATTGAAACCTCACGCTGCGCGTTCGGTTCCAATTGAAATATTTACGCGTTCGGTTCCAATTGAAATATTTAGTCGCCATCAATTCACTAAAGCATGTCTCTGATTTTCAAACACACTAGGTTTATCTCCTAAATGACCTTATAGTTGTCGCAGGATTGCTTTTGATGAAGTAAGTTTTGATTCATGCTAGTTGTAATGGCAGTAGGGGTCATGCTAGTTTCAAAATGTTCTAGAACTTACTGAAAAGATGAATGCTTTAATATTTCTCCGATTACACATAACATTCAAATGAAATAAATGACTTTTTCAAGAGAGATGAATATATTTTACGTAATTTTCATATATAAACAGCCGATGCGGGGCATGGTGTTTCTGCTTTCCCGATGTTTTCGCGTGCCGCGATAATAGAGAGCCCGCGATAATAGAGAGTCCCAGTATACTTGTATTACCACACCATGAAAGTCAAGTTGTTCTTATCATCATATACATTTAAAGTTGAAGATAGTATCATTTAGTCAGTTCTTTTTCTGAATGTCGAACTTTGTAAGTCAGGTTCTCTGCACCAGTATCATGTTGTGCTCATGCTGCAGGCCTGCATTGTGATAGAATATCGTCTTGTGGGACTTACATGCCAGTGTTCGTTTGTGAAAAGTTTGTTTGGTGGGCTCTTACCTTGTAGGTAGTAAATTATTTGTTATTTTCAGATCATACTATGTTTGCATATTAAGGCATTATTTGTTTATGCAAAGATGGAATTCCATCATGACATTGACAATACTGATACATTTATATCATGAAACTGGAAGTGTTTCTATACTACTTCTGTACTTTCCATGACTAATGTCAGACTAACCTAGTTAATTCAAATGTTTTTCTGTTGTTGTTTTTTCAGCAGGTTTCGGTTGAAAGCCGAAAATGTCGTGGCTGTCAGCTGTAACCGGGAAAGCTGAGGACTTTCTGAACAAGCTTGATCAGTCTGCTGCCACAACATTTCATCATGCAGATGCACCTCCAACCCAGATCACCACACCATCCACACAGCAGATCACTGTTGGAGGGTCCAAGTCTTCCTCACAGATTCTGTCCTCCTCTTCCCAGAGTGTCCCCTCACGTCTCAAGGACTTAAAGGGAAGTGTCAACCCCACTTCGGGTTTTGTCAGTTCTCCTGTCAAACAGACTCCAGTGAAAACAGCTGCTCCACCTAAACCAGCAGCTGCTAGTGTCAGCGATACTAAGGTAAAGAAGGATACCGATGAGGCTTTGTTTGAGTTCCTCAACAGTAAGGACCCGGTGGAGAGTAAGAAGAAGGCTGCAACGCCAGTGAGTAGTCGTCATCACTCTAGACAGTCCAGCACTTCATCGAATGTTTCCCACAAAGATGTCCGACCTCCTGTTGTAGAGGTTACAAGTCAGGTGGAAGTTGTTTCTTCAGAGCAGACACAAGGTAGATATATTGCTCATCTATGGACTTCTATGTTTGCATCATGTGTTTAGGCCCTCTTCACTGTGATTTTGGTTTCTGATTGTTTCATTTCTAAGTTATTCACAGATTGTCATCAGAATCATCCCTCAGGTATTTTATATTTTACGTAGAAAGGTGTAGAAAACACTCCATCAAAAATAAAGAAAAAGGTTTCTTGGCACTGCATCATGGCTCACTGTGTTTCAGTCTGGGAGGTTGATCGTCGTTCAGGCACAGCCTTGCCTAGCCGAGATTGTCCCCACTGTGATACAGTTAGAATATTGTATAATTGAGGGTGTCATTGATTGGAAACTTTAGCATCAAAATATCCACCAAAAGTGCCACTATACATTAGTGTTGGGAATTGTTTAACATCTCATAATTGATGATTGGTTCATTACAACCGATCAATCATCGAAAATAATTGGTTAGCGTCATTTATCAAATTTTCCTGGTTATGTTTGTTAATGCACCAAACATAAAGAAAAAAACATGTAGTTCTTTCGGGTGTTTTGCAAATTGCTAACAATGCATTTGCAAGTTTCACATCTTTAAAGGATGACTAGTATATTAGGGACATTACTTTCCTGGAGTCTTCAAGATAAATTCAATCATGACTTGGATCGATCTTGTAGTGCTTATGAAATGTAACAGACAAAACCAACCTTGTGAAAAATATTGTCATTTAGTCATTGCGACCAGTCATTGATTATTTAAATTAATCGGACCACCACATTGATATGTTAATAAATGATATAATTAATTCTGTGTATAGCAATGTAGATCTGAAAAAATATGTTTTTTTCAGTTTGAATTTGAACATGGTTGATCCAATACAAGCTAAGAATTGAAGTTGCTGCTGTTTCATCATGCTTAGTATCTGTCTTAACCATGGTAATCTTAATAAATGTAAACATTTTTGTGGCAGTGAATTATTTAACATCACTATTCATAAATTGCGAATTCTTAAGTATCAATATTGTGAACTTACCAACACAACAATGTACAATGATGCTGCGATACATGATCACAATATAGAAGACAATTGACCTTTCCATGCTTGTTGCACAACATAAGTATGTGGTTGGACACATTTTTAAACATGTTTAAACTGATTTACATATTGTGTAAAAAATGATGTTTTGACATGGCTGGGGATACAATAAAACTTAATAAAAGTGACATGGTGATGGAAATTATTACCAGACCCGTGTATGCAGTTAGTGTATTAAGTCCAAAAGCATCTTTTGTGCATCTTATGGGACACATAGTCACAGTACAGCACTGTTTACTGCAAGTTTACTGCACATTGCTGTACCCGCAACTAGGTGTTTGCACGTATTCATGTGGCCACCATCTGGTCATTTACCGACGGATTCGTGGGTTCTTTTAAGTGCTCAGGGTTGTGTACTGTACACTAGGGGTTGTGACAACACTGAAAGAGTCTGCACATGAAGTTGACTCCAAGGTTTTTACACCCGGTCACAGGTGGGTTTGATCCCGGCACCTCCAAGCCTGCTGGGTCACTAGCCTGGCACCTTAGCCAGCTCGCCCACCATGTATTAATACATTATCATACCAATTACCACATGAATCATTGTGCATGATATTTAGCACTGGATGGTTTTGTACAGACTTGATATTTACAAGCTGTAGTGACAGAACTAGATTATTTCTGTGTGCAGTGTTAAACAAAGAACTAGCCAATACACTTTATATCATTATGTTAGTGTCATTTATGTCAACACTTACATTGCTTAATTTTCATCAGAAGGAGAATCTCAGCGTGAAAGCCCAACTGGTTCCAATGCATCAGCTGACATTGAAGCTCTGGCTGATGCCATGCAAGAATCCCCAGCGAACAGTGAACACAGTAGTGCTGGGGATATTGAGAAGGGAGATAACTCTAAACTATCATCACTTGAACTTGAGAACCGTCTGCTAAGAAATGAGATTGCATCCTTGAATCAAGAAATGGCTTCATTGATTCAAAGGGCAAAGGATTCCCAGATAGGTAATACTAACTTTAAAAACAAACAATTTTAAAACTTTGCATATTTCACACTATGCATATCTCTTTCTTATTTCTATCCGAGGGAAACCTATCGCCACCTAGGATCGAAAGAGAAACGGATACTGTGAGATAATGTAACTATATAGATATATAATTCATTGTAAAATTTAATAAAAGGACAGTGCTGTGTTGTTTCATAAATGCAATTAAAGAACATTTATCATGTGTATATTATGTATATATGATATCATGCTACATATATAGGCATAATAAACACATTAAGCTGGAACAGTTTTATTGCTTGCTTTACACATTTTTAGCTGTATTCATGGTATGTGTTCTGTTTGCAAAAACAGCTCCATACATAACTTGTTGATTCTTAATGGAATTGTAAAAAAGTTATTTGTTTATAACCAAAAGAAGTTTTGAGTATGATTTTGTATCAGACCTTTTATTGTAGGCCCATAATGAGTGCTCTTTTTATAAAGCGCCTGTATCCATGCACATGTGCATGCTTAAGGCGCTAACACATTATTACCCCAGTAAACCCAACCTGCCAGTGAGCTCTATAAGGTTAACAGTCATATGATTTATCCCACTGGGTACCCAATCACTGCTGGGTGAGCAGAGGCAGTTTTGACTTCGCTTGCTTAGGGTGAGACCACATGTGTCAAGTGTGCTTCAGGCAGGACTGAAGTCCTAAGGAGTCAGTCTGCTAAATACGGTCACCTGTAAACAATGATAAAGATCAACGTACACAAGCCTTGTCAAATTTGCTAAATGCTATATCTGTGAAAGGGTTGAAGTGTGGTTGCTTTGAATCCAAAGAGGGATACAGATCTTACACAACATGTGTATTCATTCAGAGTTGGTGAAGACCAAGAAGAAGTTGGAGGATTATCACAATTCTGCGTCCATGCATGATCAGTTGGTGCGGGAACTGCAGGCTAGGGAGTCAGACCTGTCTGAATCACTGGCGGCAAAAGACTCCCAGCTGGCTGTGTTGCGTGTACGTCTAGAGGAGGCAGACCGCAGTGTTAAAGCAAGGGAGAAGCAGATAGAGAACCTGCAGTCACACAGAGAAAGGTGGGCCTAACAGTAGTATCACTGTTACTGTTTTATGTATTGTGCTTAAAGTATACATCTGCCTGCTGCTGTATAGCCTACGGCAGGATATACTGAGTGATCTATAGCATGTACATGTATACTGTTGTTACAGTAAGTGATGTTTCTGAATGTAGTGATCTAAATTTATCTTGAAAGTCATGCCCTAATGTTCAACTTTAATGATTCCGGAAGTCCTATAAAGTACTATATCAGCATGGATTATGCAGGGCCGCCTTATTCTTTTTCAGAAGAAGTCCTCCTTGGGGTACATATAAGCATTTAAATGTCCATTTTAAATCCTACGACAGTTGTAACTATATTTTTCAATAAAATATTTACAAAACAAAAAACTTGTTTTGTCTTGTGAGACCACCCCTACAGGGCCCCACCGGACCCCCTACAGCCAAGAGCAGGTAACTATCTATCGATGCCCAGGCCAGGAGGCTGTTGAGTGTGACAGAGCTACCGATCAGCTCGACGCTTCTAGGTCGCAAATACTCCGTGCCGAGATCCAGTCTCTGCTGGGCAAGGCAACCAGCGAAGGTGGTTTCCAATGGTCAGGAAAATGTGGGGTTTGACTCCATTTATTTCCTCGTTGCCATTAAGAACGGAATGTTCAGACCCATTCTCATTTGAGAGCTGAACAAGTTGAAAGAGGTACTGTCCTTCAAGATGGAGACACCGCGCTCGGTGATCTCATCTGTGGAGACAGGGGATTGGCGCACGTCAATCGACCTCAAGGTCGCGTACCTCCTTGTTCCATTGCACCCAGATTTCAAGATTTACCTTCGGTTCTTGTTCGATGGGACGCGCTACAGTTTTGTGTGCTCCCGTTAGGCTACATTACGGCGCCAAGGGTGTTCACCAAATTGAGGTTTATTACAGCCCAGATAGCCAGATCGCAGTGCCGGTGTTCTCACCCGTACCTAGGCAACTGGCTCATTGTGGTTTTGGAATAACTGTTGAGTCTGGGAACCTCACAATCAGTGTTGGTCACTCTTACTGGGCCGAATTGTCAACCTCAAGCAGTCAGATGGACAGACGTCAGGCGTCTCTCCGAGGGGCTCCCCCTGGAGACACCGTCGCTCTCAGTCCAGCCAGATACATCCGTCCCGGGTTGCGGCGATATTCTGGGGGACCTGCGGTTTCTTGACGAAGAAGTCACAACCTGCACATCAATGTGCTGGAATTGACAGCAGTCAGGTTGGTGTTTGATCCCGCACGCCAGGATTCGAATTACCTTTTTGGCCAGACATTCTCACTCTGAACGGGGCACCACACCCGAATCCTCGGATAAACTGGGTTGCTTTGGCCTCTGTCAGGTCTAACCCCCAGGCACGCGGAATTCCTGCAGCCATTGCAGACACAATTCTGGCTTCAAGGCGGGATTCGACACCCGTTCAGTGTGTTGATAGGTGGGGCGTGCTGGTGTGCAGATAGGGGGATTTCATAATCCCTATTCTGCGGATTTAGTTCGGATATTGGAGTTACTATAACCTCGTTTTGCTTGAGAGCCTTATGACCTCCACCATTCCCGGGTACTCCATGGCTATTTGCACGTTTCACACCTCGTTCGTTGGTGCTCTGCCTAGGCAGCACCCTCGCATACAGCCAGTGGCTGGTATGAACAGAGTTCGACCGCCTCGGCGGCGACCCAGCCCACCTTAAAATTGCCAATTATTCTCAATTGGCTGTCTGGCCCTGACTTTTCAAGTATATCGTCTCTCTCACTTCACTTGTTGACGTGGAAGACAGCTTTACTTGTGGTGGTGAGCTCTGGTAGAAGGGTCGGGTACATCCATGCGATACCCACTGACCCGACACTGACAGTATTTTATACTGATCATATCCGTATTCGCCTCCCGGATACCTACCACTCTCAGTTCGATATTACTTTCCACGTGACTGCTCATATCGAACTTCCACCCCTTACCCAGCCTTCCACATTGGTGACCAATCTTTCGATTGCTCACCCGTGACTGTAACGAACGAACAAAAGGGATCCGTACGGGTACCCATGTGTTCTGTTTGGTGGCGGGAAGACTGGGGAGTCTGCTAGCAAGCAGACTTTATCTCGTTGGCTTGTTTCCGTAATTGTTCGGTTACAATGCTATGGTTTACCTTTCCCCGAGGGGTTGAAGGCAGACTGGGTAGGGCAGATGCCACTTTGTTGGCAATACACAGCGGCACTGCTCAATGAAGAGATCGGTTCTGTCACTCTTTGGAGCTGGCAGATGCCTTCATTCGCCATTACTGACTTGACACGCATTCTAAGGATCGTGCTGGGTTCGGTCTTTCGGTTCTCTCCAGTGGAGAGTGTCCTGCCACCCTGACCAAGTTAGTAACTGGTCATTGGTATCGGTTCTGTGTTCAATGTCGATATGGTTCATATCACGACATCTTATAAGCCTTACCACCCTTTCGGGTTGGTTCGGGTTTGGGTGTACATACGTCCCTTACGTCCTCTTCACTTAAAGGCAAGAGGGCGGGTCCGGTTTTGAACGCTATAACGTGTCATATGCTATTCACCCGTCTTGCGACTGAATTGGGTACGAACCCCCCATGGGTCACTGTCTTCGAGCCGCATGTCACGTGACCAGGTTAGTGTAATAGTGAGCCAACACATGTTTGGCTACGCTTTTCACTATTCAGGGGATTTTTGTACGCTAACAGTTTTTTCCCTCTTCCTGAGACTGCGGTATTTGGGAGTCTGTGTTAATCAGCACTTTGTGGGCTGGTAGTCTACGCCTACCCTCCTCACGCCGAGAGTGTTTGGTGGGGGTGTTTTATCCTGTTTTTCACTCGTACAATGCATGGCGTTTGTACTCTTTTAATTTCCTCAGAAAGTTTTTAGCAAGGCTAATAATTTCTCTCGGTTTTATCGAGGTTCCCAGCAAGCCCTCTTCCAAACAGGAGGGGTGCATTCGAGCATTAGTTTGCAGTACTTATTAGCTCGACTCCTGGGTTATTGGCTTTTAAGCGTTTTTTACGCTTTCCCTACCCTTTCCCTACCCTTATACCTGTCGCCACGCTTCTCTGGTTCGGTCTATATTAGGGTTGGGAGTTGTTTCGGCATGTCCTCATACATTCCTTTCCATTTTTATGGTTGGGGGTGGGATTTTATGTCATAATTGTTTGAGCCAATTGACGTATAAGCTTGGGCTCTCTAGTTCCCGCCCTAGCCACGCCTCCGCCTGATTGACATCAGCGGTCAGGTGGCTCGGCAATGTGTTTTTTCTATTTCTGTATCGGTTGTAGATTTCACTCCACCACGGGTTTAGTTTTTGCCAGACAGAATGCCACTCCCATCTCTAATATCTTCTGTCATATGCTTATATGTACCCCAAGGAGGACTTCTTCTGAAAAAGAATTATACAAACCTGTAGAGGTTATGAATTCTTTGAAGAAAGTCCTCCTTAGGGTACGGCCACCCGCCTCCCCTCATTCTGTCTGAAACGTTCAGCATGAAAAGTGAGGTACGAGGTAGACAGCGAGAGTTACCTGCTCTTGGCTGTAGGGGTGTCCGGTGGGGCCCTGTAGGGGTGGTCTCACAAGACAAAACGCGTTTTTTTGTTTTGTAAATATTTTATTGAAAAATATAGTTACAACTGTCGTAGGATTTAAAATGGACATTTAAATGCTTATATGTACCCCAAGGAGGACTTTCTTCAAAGAATTCATAATCTCTACAGGTTTGTATAAGTTTCTGACACATTATTTTGAAATACAAGTCAAGCATTAGTAAGCTCCTGAATCAAGGTCTGTTTTTGTGAGTTGAGAATCAGTTCTACGTTTTATATTGGTATACCAGTGGTATGACTATCTTGAAACACAAGTGGTCACGCAGTGTGTAACTTCATTACGGTTTCAGGATCCTTAAGGACCACACAGATTCTAGTGGCATGCATAGTCAGGCCTTGGATTCTCTGAAGGAAAAACTCTCAGAAGTAGAGGCCAGTCTCAGACGGGAACAGGATGCCTTCAAGCATGCACAAGTGAGACTGATTAATCTCGCAGTTCTTAAATATCTGTATGAAGAGAAACACATCCAGTAGTCTTAGTGAAAGGTTGGGAAAGTTGAATGTAGCAATCTACACTTAGATTTCATGAAACTGTACATCGAAGTAATTCCACTCGTCTGAGGAACCTGAAGGTTTAATGGCACTTGCAGCAGATTTGGGGTCAGATTTCATCGTGTGAGCAGATGTAGATAAATCAGTGATGTAACTACCTCAGTTTAAATATACCAGACAGATTAAAGTTGTCAGCTTTTAGTTAAAGGAAAATACTGGTCCTAGAATAATGAGCAATATAACTATGTCAAACTGTTGCTGTGCAGTGCTGCATTCCATTCCAGTAATGGCATGATGTTTGGTATGTCTGCAGATACAAGGGGATAACATGATAAAAACTTGCTCACTTAGTGTTGGGCTTTGTATTTTTCAGCAAGAAGCAGCTGGAAGGCAGAGTCGATTGGAACAGGAACAACAGACAATGGCAGAGGCTCTTACAGCTGCTGAGCGGAAACTTACAGAGGAAAGGGGTATGCATGATTTTCTGTCATGTAAGTTGCTCTATAACCAGGAAGTAAAACCAGACATTCCTGGCTGTCAAAATCTGGAATCAGTAAACCATCCCACTTGAAACATTCTGTGTAACAAACTTTTTGGATTCAATAAAAGTTTGAATGATGAACGGCTCTGAAAAGATTTGTGTATAATCTCAGTACAACTTCAGACAGTTCTTTTGTTTAGAAAGGTATGTTTGACATCTCTTTGTGTTGGTACTTTAATTTCATTGAGAATTTATTCTTCAATTTTGCAAATACTCAGAAATTAAGGTGAGTTGCCTGTATTGGAGATGTTGCTTGCAGGAAAAGTCACAGGTATTGCGAACCAGCTTAAGACTGCAAAGCTAGGTGTAGACTCTGCCAGGCAAGAACTCACCGACTACAAAGAAAAGGCTTCAAGAATTTTACAGGTATATCATTTAAAACTTTTATTGCTTTTCATCTCGTAGATAAAAGTATCTACTCATTTCACATCTGACAGTGTTAATGAAAGTTGCAGGGCAAAGAGAGGTTGATAGCCTAACAGTGTTAATGAAAGTTGCAGAGCAAAGAGAGGTTGATAGCTTTACAGTGTAAATGAATGTTACAGAGCAAAAGAGAGGTTGATAGCCAGACAGTGTTAATGAATGTTACAGAGCAAGGAGAGGCTGATAGCCTGACAGTGTTAATGATTGTTACAGAGCAAAGAGAGGCTGATAGCCAGACAGTGTTAATGATTGTTACAAAGAGAGGCTGATAGCCTGACAGTGTTAATGATTGTTACAGAGCAAAGAGAGGCTGATAGCCAGACAGTGTTAATGATTGTTACAGAGCAAAGAGAGGTTGATAGCCTGACAGTGTTAATGAATGTTACAGAGCAAAGAGAGGCTGATGGCCTGACATTGTTAATGAATGTTACAGAGCAAGGAGAGGCTGATAGCCTGACAGTGTTAATGATTGTTACAAAGAGAGGCTGATAGCCTGACATTGTTAATGATTGTTACAGAGCAAAGAGAGGCTGATAGCCTGACAGTGTTAATGAATGTTACAGAGCAAAGAGAGGCTGATAGCCTGACATTGTTAATGATTGTTACAGAGCAAAGAGAGGCTGATAGCCTGACAGTGTTAATGATTGTTACAAAGAGAGGCTGATAGCCTGACATTGTTAATGATTGTTACAGAGCAAAGAGAGGCTGATAGCCAGACAGTGTTAATGATTGTTACAAAGAGAGGCTGATAGCCTGACAGTGTTAATGAATGTTACAGAGCAAAGAGAGGTTGATAGCCTGACAGTGTTAATGAATTTTACAGAGCAAAGAGAGGCTGATATCCTGACAGTGTTAATGAATGTTACAGAGCAAAGAGAGGTTGATAGCCAGACAGTGTTAATGAATGTTACAGAGCAAGGAGAGGTTGATATCCTGACAGTGTTAATGAATGTTACAGAGCAAGGAGAGGTTGATATCCTGACAGTGTTAATGAATGTTACAGAGCAAAGAGAGGTTGATAGCCTGACAGTGTTAATGAATGTTACAGAGCAAAGAGAGGCTGATAGCCTGACAGTGTTAATGAATGTTACAGAGCAAAGAGAGGCTGATATCAAGCCTGCGGGAAGGATCAGGAGTAACTGGTGAAGTAGCAGGGGTGTCCAGTTTGGAGCATGACTCCTTGAAACAGGAGAAGGACATGCTCAAGGATGAACTGCAGCAGACCAAGATGGTCTCAGAGAATCTCCGTGCTGAGATGTTGGTGAGTATCTTATCCAAATTGTACCTGTATTAAAAAGCCTGTTCCTTTGTTATCAACAAAACTATGCACATCTCTCTAGTTGTTACTTTCAGCAACCCTAAACTGTGATTTGTACTTATTTTAACTAGCTTGAAGGGATAGATCATGCTTAGTTCTCTTCCTTACAAACTCAGTGAAATGTACCCCTCTTTCACTCAACCTCTCATCCCTCCCTGACTCCCGCTCTCTCATTCATCTCTGACTTTACCTCATCCCTCTTTGACTCCACCTCTCTCACCCCTCTCTGACTTCACTTCCTCACCTCATTCCAACTCCACCTCTCACCTTTCTTTCACTCCACCTCTCTCACTCCTCGCTGACTCCACCTCCTCGCCCAACTCCAACTCCTCCTCTCTCACCCCTCTTTCACTCCACCTCTCTCACCCCTCTCTGACTTCACCTCATCACCCCACTCCAACTCCACCTCTCTAACCCTTTTTTCACTCCGTCTCTCTCACCCCTCTTTAACTCCACCTCTCTCTCCCTCTGACTCGACCTCTCTCCCCCTTTCTGACTCAAACCTCTCTAACCCCTCTCTGACTCCATCTCTCTCACCCTTCTTTGACTCCACCTCTCTTACCCTACTTTGACTCCACCTCTCTCACCCCTCTCTGACTCCACTCTTTCTCCCCTTTCTGACTCCACCTCTCTCACCCCTCTCTGACTCCACTCTTTCTCCCCTTTCTGACTCCCACCTCTCTCACCCCTCTTTGACTCCACCTCTCTCACCCCTCCCTGACTCCACCTCTCTAATACCTCTCTCTCCCTCTCTGACTCCACCTCTCTGACTCCACCTCTCTCACACCTCCCTGACTCCACCTCTCTCACCCCTCCCTGACTCCACCTCTTTCACCCTTCTCTGACGCCACCTCTCTCACCCCTCTCTGACTTCACTTCCTCACCTCATTCCAACTCCTCTCTCACCCCTCTTTCACTCCACCTCTCTCACCCCTCTCTGACTTCACCTCATCACCCCACTCCAACTCCACCTCTCTAACCCTTTTTTTACTCCGTCTCTCTCACCCCTCTTTAACTCCACCTCTCTCTCTCTCTGACTCGACCTCTCTCCCCTTTCTGACTCAAACCTCTCTAACCCCTCTCTGACTCCATCTCTCTCACCCTTCTTTGACTCCACCTCTCTTACCCTACTCTCTGACTCCACCTCTGCTCGTGTCCATCCTGACTCCACCTGACTCCACCTCTCTCACCCCTCTCTGACTCCACTTTCCTCCTCTCCCCTTTCTGACTCCACCTCTCTCACCCCTCTCTGACTCCACACTCTTTCTCCCCTTTCTGACTCCCACCTCTCTCACCTCCTCTTTGACTCCACCTCTCTCACCCCACCCCTGACTCCACCTCTCTAATACCTCTCTCCCTCTCTGACTCCACCTCCTCTGACTCCACCTCTCTCACACCTCCCTGACTCCACCTCTCTCACCCTCTCTCTGACTCCACCTCTTTCTCCCTTTCTGACTCCCCACCTCTCACCCCTCCTGACTCCACCTCTTTCACCCATCTTCTCTGACGCCACCTCTCTCATCCCTCCCTGACTCCACCTCTCTCACCCTTCTCTGACGCCACCTCTCTCATCCCTCCCTGACTCCACCTCTCTCACCCTTCTCTGACGCCACCTCTCTCATCCCTCCCTGACTCCACCTTTCTCACCCTTCTCTGACGCCACCTCCTCATCCCTCCCTGACTCCACCTCTTTCACTCTTCTCTGACGCCACCTCTCTCATCCCTCCCTGACTCCACCTCTCTCGCCCCTCTCTGACGCCATATCTCTCACCCCTCTTTGACTATTAGTATTTGACCAACTCACTCACCCTATTTGACTCTATCACTGTATGTGACCCAGGACTTGGAGGGACAGCTCCAGCAGGACAGTGACTCTGCTGCTGAGCAGATCAAGTCGCTGGAGGAGCAGATCCTGGAAGAGAAGACCAGAAAGGAAGACACCGAGCAGGAGCTGCTGAAGCAGAAACAGGTACCACCATCCCCATATTGTGATGGGAAAAATCATAAACTAGCACTGCCATTCAACAGCACTTTTCCATAACTGTATACATGACATGATAGCCATTTGTTTGAAGTGTCTTCATCTGATGTGAACTAGTGCAGGGAGGCTTTGTGGGGAGTACAATCCACTCAACAGGGGAAAATGAAATGGGTTGAGTTCTTCATTGATTAATCCAGTTCATGTTACACATTTTCTCAAAGAAACAAAAGCTTTTGTTTGTCATGAAGTTGTTCATTTTCACTAACATGTTATTGCTTTATATTTGTAGGAACTTCAATATGCAATAGATGAAATCAACAAACAGAAGACTTCTTTCCAAAGCCGAATAAGCGACAGAGAAAGAGAAATTGAGAAACTCAGAAATCAGGTACAAATCCATGGCTTTAATAGCTAACAATTTGCAGACATTCCGGATGATAGATAATTCTGTATGCATGTACTGTGGCAGTCAGCACTGATGATGAATTTTCTAGAAATTGTGTAGTTTAGTCAAGTTTGGTTAATTTAAATTGAAAAATCATATGTTTTCAGCATATTTCTCACTATAGCTGCCTGTTAGATTTATGTGTTATCATGAGTAACAGGGCACGGTGACAGCATAGTTTTGTTGTGCAGAGTTGTCTCCCTTGAGCACACCATGAACCTATGATCGTGGCTTTGAATGCTGCCTTGCCCAAAGTGTGTGGATTTCAGGGGTAAACATCTCTGACATGCATCACTTAGGGCTTCCCTCCCACACAAAGCTGACATGCTATGGTGTAACTGAAATACTTGTCAAACCGGTGTTAATCCAAACTTCCTTACTCACTCATGACTTATTTAATATGAATTGTGACAATCAAAGCATCACTGTGATCCAAACATATCTCTCCCAGTTGATGACGAAGAGTATCAGCAGCTCATCTGAGGGTGAGTTAGAATCACGAGTGCGAGCTCTGACTGACAGTCTCATACAGAAACAGACAATGTTGGAAGCTCTCAGTACTGAGAAGAACTCTTTGGTGCTTCAACTTGAAAGGATGGAGGTCAGTAAATATATCTCTTGTTGGATTGATGTTCACTCAGCTCTTGATATTAAACATTATCATCATGGTGTGAAAAGATAACTGTCTTATCCTGGTGTATTTAGAATGGTTAAGACTAAGTTATATTTACATAAGGCTAGACCAAATAATTACATTTTTACAGGTTTTAACCCCCTAAGGTGCAGAGTTGTCTTCCCTGGGCTAAAGTCATGTGTTCAAACCCCAGTTACTAGGTTTGTCCATGATCATGGGTTTCCCCAAGGTGGTAAATTGTCAAAGTCTGACATCGCTTGTGACTTTCTCCCCACACCAAGCAGACATATACATGTAGCAGGAATACTGTTCAAGCAGCATTATGGCCTAGTCACTCATCATAGCCCGAAAAATTGCCTTAAGTCAGGGTGAAAAACTATATGTTTTTAAACAGTGAATTATGTTTATAACTCCATTGTGCCTTTTGCCATATTTTCTTCTGTCACAGACATCCATCTTTATGGGGTTGTGTTATTGTTGACTTTGAAGATTGGGGTTTGAACTTGTCTTCAGCAGTCCATGCCTGTTGTAAAACGAGACCTTGTTGGTGCATGTCATCATATCCCAGTTGTATACATTGATGCTCATGATGTCATGATGACTTTACTAAGAGCACCTCATCATTGTCTACAAAATGTGTTGATAAATACCGGTATTTCATGTTTCTAAATAATATGGCCTGTCTGTGGAGTTTTTGTTGTATGCTCACTGTGTGTGGATAGTTCATACATTGCTATCATTTCAGCAACAATACCGTGACATACAGGAGTGTGTTCGGTCAACCCCAGCCGTCGTCAACGCTAATGACGATGAGGAAGGTAAGATAGGTAACAATGAACTTCATTATCTGCATGTCGGTGATGGATGTTGGTCTGCATGTTTTCCATCTTTGTTTTCAAGGGTTGGATGGGACGTCTCTACACGTCTAACCTTTGTTTATCGTTAGATTTTGTCTGCATGCTATGATGGGATATTGTGTACACTTGAATCTTTTGTTTATTGTCTGAACTGCTCGAAAAGGGGCTAATGCTCTACTGGGGGGATATGATGGAATAGTGATATATGTGTATTTTCTGCCTTTATTTGCATGCAATGGGACATTCTCATTACTGAAACATTTTGCTTTTTTAGACTTTACACATTTGGTGAGGGATGCTCCACATTTAAATGTTTATGTTTAGGGAATAAAATGAAATTGTGAAATTTCTGTATTGTCTGTCTGCATTTTGCATGCTAAGCAAGGTATGATCTTACTGACACATATTTTTATAGTGGGACTGTTTTGTTCTTTTGGAGGGCTGTGCTCAGCACTGACTCATTTGTGTATTGTCTGACTTTTAGTGGGACGTGCTGTACATTAAAAATTTGAGTTTCTTGATGTTTTGCATCAAGACTTGGTTGCTTTTATTTCAGTTCGTCAGCGGTTGCCGGGGTTTATGAGAGAAGGACCAGCTGACCATGAAATGACCAAGAGGATGAAGAGGGCAGCCAATGTCATTGATAAGTTCAGGTAAATACAAACAGGAAAGAGGATCTATGAGTTCTGGGGACATTTATGAATGGAGTTATGTGTGTTCAGATGTTATCAGTCAGTGGATGTATAATCCATAAATACCTGAGTCGCATTTCCATGAGTTATTGTGAAGCTCTTTCTTGGGGTGTCACCATCACTGTGATCAGACTGCAACATCATTTTGAGGCTTAATGAACTCTCTGGTCAAGAGGATCAAAAGTCTGCCCAGAGATGACTGTTCACATCTGCTAGGACCGTGGAAGTTTGGTGGTTCAATCACAGACCTCGTCATATCAGAAGACGTTTACAGATGGTACTAACTGTTACCCCGACTGTTGCATGGCATTAAGGAGATAAAACAAGGACTGGTCGGCTCGGAATCTTTATGATATTGGGGTATCTTTTTTTGGATTGCACAATAATAATTCAGTCAGTGCAATAATACTATGCACCCTGTACATGTTATATGATGTATGTTAATATAAGTGCAGTAATGTTGAACACTGTATGAAACCCCATTTCATCTCACCAGTGTAATCAGTTGCATGTGAGCTATATCCCCTTTTTTAGATATTGTCCTAAATAGTGAAACCGCCTCCATGGTGTAGTGGTTAGAGCGTCCGCCCGGAGAGTGGAAGGTCGCGGGTTCGATCCCCGACTGCGTCATACCAAAAGACGTTAAAAATATGGTACTTGTTGGTCCCTGCCTGGCTCTCGGCATTAATTGGTACAACAAGGACTGGTCGGCTCGGAGTCAGTATAATGTGTATGAGTGGGGTATCCATGCTTCACTGCAGCATGGTATCTCAGTGGGCTAGCACTATAAAACTAGCTTAAGTCTGGGCTAGTACAAGCAGCCGCACATACACACACACACGCATGCACGTCGTCATATGAGCGAAATATTCTCAAGCACGACGTTAAATCCAATTTCATCTCACCTCACCTCACCTAAATAGTGATATGGGTTTTACACTACTTGCTTATTTTAAACCTCTAACGGTAATATTCTAGCGGTGTTACAGTCCAGTTTTATGTTATGACATTATCTATTATGAGCAGCACAAACACACACTCATGTATGTTGCTGTATTGCTGTAGTAGTGCAGTAATCCTAGTATGCACCGTCAAACAGCACAGTACCTCACATGTTGTCTTGACACAGCAGTGTCAAGTCATACTCTTTCCATCTCAGATCATATTGTTGCCATCTCTATGTCAATGTTCATTTTCTTTCCTTCAGTGTTCGTCTTGGCATCTTCTTGAGGAGGTACCCTATCGCCCGAGTGTTTGTTATTGTATATATGGTAAGGACATCATCCTTGAGGGGAGGTAACCCACACTGTTTGAATGGTATCATGTTACAGGTGCATTGTAGTATATCCTATGAATGATAGGTGTCTGTTGGATTATATGAGTTGTACTGTATAAAAGGAAGCCTATCCTGTATTAACCAATTTACGTATAAGTAAGGTGATACAAACAAATATAGTCTGGGATTAAGTGAAATGGTCACATGACACTTCTTTACACATACACTTTGAGGAGAAAATGGACCTATGGGTACAGTGGTTAATGCTTTATACTGGACAAATTTTTCTGCAAATTAAGAATACTTTTCCCAATGATTGTGTAATGTTTAGTGTTGTGTTGAAATATATTGAAATCAAAAGATATAAGCATTACGTACACCTTTAAAGGCAGTGCCACATTTTATCTTGCACCCTAAGGATCATGTTTCATAGCTGATTGGACACTGTTGAGTCTTCTGATCCTTTCTCTGCATACAGAAAATACAAGGGCATATAGGTTTAGACAAGCACAGAGAACTTATGTATAACCAACCTGAATTTGATCCAGAAGGAAAGCCAGTATAGTGCTGTCATTGGTTGGTCTTGTACTGGCACAGACCAGCTCAAAAGTATGCTGTGTAGAAATATTGAAATAAATGATACGATACAATGCTGGGTCAAAAATATATGGAATGAATTATTTATTTGCTAAAATGGTGTGGCCTTTTGGAGACAAGCAACTTTAACTTAGTTACCAGTTTCTTCTTTGCATAAAAGTTTTCATCATGAAAGTTATATGAAGTTTAAAGGAACTGACAGTGACGACTTGTTTCAGGTTCTGTTGCACCTGTGGGTGATGATTGTTCTGTTGACATACCAGCCGGAGATGCATGGAGCAGACTACCAACCCAAACCCCCACACGAGGATCCTCATTGAAAAGCCTTCTACTTGGAGATTGTAGCGCTTCAGTGTAGACATTGTTATTGTGATACCGACTGTGGTTCAGGGGAATACTGTACTTAATACTGTCCACTGACACATGCTAGGAACGTTATGAAGATGATACACTTTCTGGGAATATTGCTTAAATGTTGGGAATATTATTACGATGATAATATACTTCTGGGAATATGATTAAGATGTTACTCTTTCTGGGAATATCATTATAATGGTATACTTTCTGGGATTATTGAAAAAATGATAATGTTTCTGGGAAGATTATTAAAACGATTTACAGTCTTGGAATATTATTGAGTTGAATTAGTATCATGAATAATGAAACTTCCCCCTAGAGCTAAAAGATATTGATTCTCGTATGATACAATTTTTGTTTATCTTAGAGTATATGTTATAATTTCATAAGTATGAGAAATCTTGAAAATAATGCCAAAATATCTGCAGGTTTCCTGTGAATTGCCAGTGTATGCCTAGTAAAACCCTGACTTGAATAAGTACTGGTACTCGGGCACAGGCAGATATCTGCTAATCCTTAATCCACACATCATCTTGTATTACATGTTGGTGTCAATGATCCCCACAGACATATAATGTCCACTGTTTGTATGACATTGGTAAGGGAAGTAGTCCAGTGGTTTCAAGGGGGTTCAGCTTGTAGTGTCTGTTTATGGAATAATTATGTTTGGGAGATATTTGCCATTGTTGAGGGATAAGTATAGACATTCTATGTTCATATTGTTCAACGTATTTAAACATTCTGGATATATATAGTGTGCTCATGACTGAAGAAGCTCACTTTCATTACATATGAGATACTGGAGAGGTTGCTATTTCAGTCATCATGAAATTTCATACTGATACATGCAGTGGATGAGCCATTCTTGACACCCTGAGTGCCATGCATAGACCTTACATGTGAATATTTAAGTTTATAGTACTTGTTCAGGTTTTTCAAACCAATGCAGTGAGACTTGTCGTATGCCAATAGCCACAGTTTAATGTCTTTTGTGATAGTATTGCTTGTTGCTTGTTTGCTATGACATTCAGCTTGTGCTAGATTGGAAAGACAAAGTGACACTATTCAAAACATGAAAAGATTCCCCTCTTAAGCCATGTAGTAGTAACTCATGAAACCTTTCAATGCGATGTGAGTGGTAGTCTGATATCGAAATGTTATTCTATGTCATAAGTATTCTATGCTCCTAATTGAAGCATTGTTTTGATAATGAGATTCTTTCACTGTTATACTGTTTAATCATGGATTAATGAAACTTTAGTATTTATATTGTTTATTTCAACTGTGACCTCCCTCAAAGTGACACTTATGTGACACACTGCTGTTCTCAGCCGTCCTGTTTGACTATATTTAAAGCATACAGTCTAGGGGATGGTCTAAGTCTAAGTTGTATCACTGTATGCCCCTTTCTTATAGTGTCATGACCAGGCATGTACATATTAGACATTATTTTACTAAAAGCCTTTCTCCTCACCCTTTACAAGTAACATACTGAAGTTATCTCCCCATGGCAGGGGTGACGCATGCTGTAGAACATGTGACTGACTTACAAGTATCGAAAGGCTATGGACTTGTACATGAATACTAACATATGGACCTGTTGCATTTATAACAACACAGCTGTATGATGTGAATTATCAGATATCATGTGAATAATAAGATATGAATAATTAGGTATCATGTGAATTATAAGATGCATGTGTAAGTGGGAATGTATTGTGTCGAGATCAAAAGATTTATTTTTGTTGTATAGTATTTGCCATGTTAATTGTAGTTTGAATGTGTGTGCAAGTTAGTGAGTGTATACTTATTTTGGTGTGTCTGCGTTCAAGGAACTTCACGTCAAAGGGAAATCAATGGTTGTTCAGTCTGGAACTAGAAGCCAATTTTAATTATTATTCACAGCGATTCACTATCTTGGTATGTTAGAATGTGATTTGGTGCTTATATTGGGCGACACATGTTTAATATATCTCCTTTTATTCAGTTGGCTGTAAATATTCAGTGTTAATGATATTTTGAAGTAGTTTTTATCATGGACAAAAGGCAGAATAATCACAGTTTATGAATTCTGGTGAAATATTTTGAGAGCATACAAAGCATGGTCTGGATATTTTTCACTAAGAAACGGAACTTTATTACACTTAGGTAGCAAGGTGTGTATTGCTTAATACAAAATATATGTACATGAAAACTATATTTTATACAGTGCTGACTACATCTTCTCCAAGCAGCCGGGTCAGGTACAGACCACAACTGAGAACATTTGTTGTATATTCTCTCAAGATTTAAATATCATGATTATTTTACATAAGTTGTAGAGATTTCTTAATGTTCCCAATCAGTATGTTCTAACCAGCCTTGGTTAAGGAATGGGACCTAAGCAGGACTGGTTGTCATTAAACATCCATAGTGACACTCCTTGGCTCCAGAAACACTGCCTTCACGACCATTGGGAGTGTGTATACATTGTCACAAGGACACAGCTACACACCTGTAATTTGTACACCACCACACTGTATTAATATGGATAATTTCACTTTGACACTATGCTTCACTTTAACATGGTTTTTATTCATTTTGTTATTTATGTCAAGACAGTATGCCCTGATTAGAGCATGACAGATATCTATAATTCCAAATAAGTTTGTGAGACTGCTGGATGTCTTATTGGTAATATTTTCTGAATATTTGTGTTTAAAACATCAATACTTACACTATCAGAGAAAGCAGTGATAAGCTGAAGCACCTCAAGGCTACTCTATACATGGTGCTGCCAAGGTAGTTACTGTCAACATGTAGCAACAATAAAGCTGATAGTGTAAGCAGTCATTGTTGGACTAGGGTGGTTAGGGATGTCACGATACATAAGTTTCATGAATTGATGCGTATCACGATACACATGTCACGATTCGATACATATCACGATACCTATTTTCACGGCATTATTGAGTGAATTTAGTTACATTTTTAACATAAATATTTCATATCTTATAATTGTCCATGAAAAGATCAACATTTTTGATTCTCAGAGAATAAAAAGTTCTAATTTCCCATCTTTGTGCATGAAAAATAATTATTTATAACTCTCATAACGTCAAAAAACATGATACATTTGCAAAATGTAAACGATACATAAACATATTTAAACCGATACTTTCAAAACTAAATATCGATACAGTTTTGAATGCATCGATAATTGTATCGTCTTAGAAAGAGTATCGATGTATCGTGGCATCCCTAAGGATGGTGCTCTGCTACTTTAAGTAGGGTACATATAACCATATATGTAGTTTTAGCATCAAAAGGAGTGGGCTTTCACTTGGTTGCACAAATTCTAAAACTAATTCAAACTTGAAACATCATGTGAATTGTTGGTTTATGAAAAGTTTAATCACTGCCACTTTTAGTGTCTGGTGTTCCCCGCCGTGATATTGCTGGAATATTGCTAAAAGTGGCGTAAAACCATACTCACTCATCACAACAAGACAGACTCCCAAGAGCATAATCATATGTGTATTTTCCAACGTTCTTTCACACTACATCTGTAACTGTTCATAAATATGCAATTTTTTCTTTCCATGCTTTCATACATTTATACAGGTAACTTCAGATAGAGGCAGTGATAGGAGTGGACATTTTGATGGTGATGATGATGACATTTCTAATTATTATTCATATTTTTTAGGTTACACAGTGGGAGGTATTTGCTGGAATCTTTTGACACTGTACATAGTCTGACATACCATGTGATCTGTGATCCTGGCTTGTAAATACCACAGCACTCAATATGTACAAAAACGTGATGTATAAATTCCATATTTATGTCTGCTTTGTAAATATGTACATCGGTGTACATCCAAAGCCAAGAGTCTTGTTATGTACATGATATTATATGATGTATCCACATGGTCCTGAATAAATGGGATGAAACAAGCCTGTGTGTGTCTATTGGAAGGCTTCTATACCTGAATATAGCAATTACCCTATTGTCACAAGTTGACCAGGGTACCATTGTACAATGTGATCTTAGCACTAAGGTGACCATAAGTCCCATACCTTAACATACACATTAGGTAGTCTTAGCCTTAGTGACCATACCTTAACATAGACTTAGGTGCTTTAGCACTATTAAGGTGACCATAAGTCCACCATTAACAGAGACTTAAGGTAGTCTTAGCACTAAGGTGACCATAAGTCCCATACCTTAACATAGACTTATTTAGGTCACCTTAGCCATAAGATACTGATCATTAAGTCCCATACCTTAACATAGACTTAATAGACTTAAGATCATGTCTTAGCATAGACTTAAGATCGTGGTGATCATAAGTCCCATACCTTAACATAGACTTAAGATCGTCTTAGCACTAAGGTGATCATGTCCCATACCTTAACATAGACTTAAGGTCGTCTTAGCACTAAGGTGATCATAACTCCCATACCTTAACATAGACTTAAGGTCGTCTTAGCACTAAGGTGATCATAACTCCCATACCTTAACATAGACTTAAGGTCGTCTTAGCACTAAGGTTGTTTTGTACAACAGCACCCAGTACTTCAGCTGTGTGCTCATATCCCTGCTTGTTTGTCAGACAGAATCATCCTCTGTTGCTCTCTTATGTTGCTGTTGCTCATTCTTGCTTGTTTGTAAAGAATCCAGATGGACATTCAATTGGAAACACAAAGAAAGATTAATGTGTGTTTATTCTGATGTTGAGGAATTAACTAGATGGAGAATAATCTGTAAGTCTACTTCAATATCAAAATGCAAAATGATCGACTGGACATGATTAGCTAAACCATCAAATCTAATTATAATATTTCACAATGTCAGGAATGGGAAATAGAGAAGAACAGTATCTTGGTAACAATTACAGACAAATCACAATGATCTTCATATATCACAAACATGAAGTCAGTTAAAACCTTCGTTTCCATGAGCACCACTCAACACAACATTCACACTGGAACAGTAGGTTACAGGAATACAGGTAAACTGGACACCTGTATCTAACTGAGGATGCATACTCCACTGTGATACAGACTCACGGTAATGACTGCAATAATTACAACATTCTTATTTTGGAACGGCAAATAGTTGGTTACTATCGAGATAACATATAGAATTTGCATGGAAAATATAATAACATGATGTTGCAAAGGATTTACACAAAGGTTCATCACAGTAAGCTGAAACAGTCCAAGAATTAATTGTTGTACAAGACATTTCATCATATCATGAGTCATGTATCACAGAGGGTTTGTGAGTCATTCGAACCCAGGAAATATCAACATATTACGATTATAACAGATAGAATATAATAGTAAAAGATTTCAGTATGTGTTCATTTTAGTGAGACAGCATGCAATCAAACTAACCCAACATCTGTACCTAGAGTAACAAGGGCTTACACTGCAGGATATAGGTCATAGACAATGTCTCACACACTCACTGTAGAAGAGAATGAGCCACTGCTTAGGAGTGTCGCTCTCAGCTTATAATCCTACATGAAGCATGTTTTGCAAAGTTATCTTGGTGCCAAAATAATCGTAATTATTTAGTATAAGCTTACGGCTGTCCATTCTCTTCCCACAGAGGTTACTCCTGTCATATCTTCCTACGTAACCTCTGTTCTAATACGTCCCTTTCATGGTGTGAGCGTTCAAGACTCGTGATTGGAGGCAATCAGATTTAGTTGTGCAATCAGCGACGTTGTTTCAAAAGTGATCATTCGCAAGGCCTCGGTAATTTCCGTATATTTCGAGAAAACTAAACCTCTTCCCCTGCGCGATGCGCAAACGTTTCTTCTAGACAGAACTCAGTCATGTTATAGCGGATCAGTGGCGTCTCCATCGCCCTCGTTGACAACGGACAAGCTAGCCATTAAACGTCTTGTGTGTAACATCAACACAAGTCCCCGGCAGATGGGGGATATTTGTGGCCTCACGTTTGCTTGTGTTAGTCAAGTTGAATCTAAGTCGATGTAACACGTGTTCTGATTGGATAGAAAGAAGGGAGATAATTCGTGTTGCGATCTTTTGCCGCTAGGGGATTTTACGAGAACCGGGAAATATGGCCGTATTAGAACAGAGGTTCGTAGGAAGATATGACAAGTAACCTCTGTGGGAAGAGAATGACGGCTGTCATAGTGGAATCACTTGGTGTAACTTGGTCATTGATAGCCTGCACAAGGAATTTAACAGTGACATGATACCACACGGGTTCATCATCATGCGATATGTAAATAACTTGGACAACCAAAGTATAATTCTGTTTTTACATATTTACAAAGTCAATATGCCTTAAGGCAGGTGAAAACCAAACCAAACATATCTACCAGTAGGTTGATTTCCTGTTAAAGAACCACTTGAAGTACATTTTACAAAATTACAAACAAATTCTTAAAACCTATTTCCACTGATACATTTCTTTTTTGGGTACTGGTAAAACTTTAGATGAGGCCATCTAAATACAATATTTCTGATAGCTTTGAAAACATGTCAGTTGTTCTGTCCACACATTCATTTTCTGTCAAGTCAGCAGTCAATTAGAGTAAGACGGTGAAGACTTGTGACATGGCAATACAGTACATATTGCTGCAATGTATATATATGGCAATGTATATAGTTTATACTATAATCTCAACATAGCTACACACTAAACACACAGACAAAGTCACCCATGACAGGTGGCAATAAAACTCCTGATCAATAAATTATACAGCAACATGGAAATGTAAATTATATACAAAGTTTCAAAGAATCATACAAATAAACACAGTAACCTGATCAGCAATAACCATCCAACACTGACCCTCCTTTGAAAATTACAGCCTTATGTTGAGCCAGTCTTAGCTTTCATCCAGAAGAACATAAAGTTCAAGACAAACAGGTGCACATTGGACCTCATTATTTAAATATGAATTTTATCAAACTGAATGTGTATAGAATTTCATGCTGCTTTGAGCAAAATAGAAGCCATACTTTAGTATGAGCACCAAGAATTTGTGTCTAGGGACTGGTGGGAATAATTTTTCTGAATGAGGTAACACCTTAACCACTATGCCATAATAACAATAATATTAGATGACAGGACCAACAAAGAAACCAACAACAGAAAGTCATAAACTGATCCTGATGACTATTAAATCAGTAGATTTTGTTAAGGAGCTAGTACATGCGTCTCGTGTTGCAGCAGTTCTTCCTCATTTAGTTACAACCCACCTACACTCCCAACAAAGATGATCCCTGTGTACACCCTTATGTGAAGCTGTGTTCTAGACATTGGCTATAGGTCTACAATGACACCTAACCTATGTAACAATCATCGTTATCAATGCTGGGCCATATTGCATGATCAAGGGTCCACCACTGCCAAATGTCTATGCTCAGAGCAGATCTGGTTCTGCTGATATGGATTTCTTGACACGGAGGAGCATGGTAGTTAGCCACTGGTCGAGGCGGGAAATACTGTCGAACTCCTGCAGAGACTGTGTAAATGCGTCAACATTCTCCTCCTCACACGCCTTCAACAGCGACTACAAACAGAACAAAATGTTACATGTACATGTGAAGATTGGATTAGATTCAAGTTGTTAAAACAAGAGGTGGGAAGTATAAGATACATTTTATGATGTATATTTAGCAATCTACCCGGGACATCGTAGTTTTGTCACTCAAAATGCAGAGCAGCATAAAGCCTCTGTCAAGAATTGAGCTGAATGGGCTACGGTGTGACATTCAAGATTGATTCCAAGCATGTGCGTGCGTGTGCGCGTCGCGCTCGTACATGCGTACGTACATACTCTTCCTTGCACTTCAATTGGTCTTCAGCAAACCATACTTGTCATAAAAGGCGATTAACATCATATCCCAAATGCATAGATCGATGCTCATGTTGTTGATCACAAGACTGTCTGGTCCAGACTCAGTTATTTACAGACAGCCACCATATAGCTGGAATATTGCTGAAAGTGGCGTTAAACAACAACCAAACCAACCCTTGCACTAGTCCAGACTACTGCTAGTCCTCTAAGAAATAACATGTCAAGTTTACATGGACTGGTACATGGCAGAGAACATGTAAACTAAAACTAATAAGCATGGCCATCCAGAAGCAAGTACGTTAACCATCCTCCTACCTTGACTAGTTTACACTCCCTCGATTCTGAGAAGGCTGGAAACATGTCTTCGTACTTCTGAACACATATCTGGGCATTGACCTGATCCAGACACATGTGACACACTGCCGCACGGAAGAAGTGGTCCTTGGCGCTGTACTTCAACAAGGAGTTGTCCATTGCCGATATGCCAACCTGTAACCATAACAACACTATGGCATCAGGGTACCCCAGTGTATGGAATAAGCCAAAAATCCAGCCAGACATCAGGGCTGATAACTTCAAAATGTTACCAGCCCCAAATGGATTTAACCTGACCAAATATGGTGAATTTACTCAGATGTATGGAACATCTAAAAAATTTACCAGACCATCGGGCTGGCTAGCTGTAAATTTAGACCGTCCGTCAGAAATCTAGACCATCTCGGACGGTCGGATGGGCCTTATTTCATACACTGGGTACCCTTGTACAAAACGGATAATACCCCAAAACTGTTAGGGTGATTGTTACTCCCATAACTTAACACAGACTTCTGACAGTGCTGTTTTGTACAACAACACCCAGTACCAACTGCTACAGTGCCATTCAAAGCATCTTGGATGTCATATCATCCTGAGATTTTGGTACAGATAGTCTTTAATTCATATCAAATTCAGTTACAACAATCAGCAAACTGGATCAGCAAGGGAATGCTGTATAATACAGCAATCGACAATATTACATCTGTGTGGAATGAGGGTGAATCTTACAACGTACCTGTTCATAAATCTCGACAGCCTTTTCATAATTTTCTAACTGAGCTGAAAACTGTGCAACCTTCAACAGACATTTGTTGGCAGAGCTGAAACACAAAGAGACATATGGATAATGATGGGGAAACAGGAGCAAAAAGAGAAATTATGGATGTCAACATCTAAATTACGACCAAGCAATGTTCAAAAGTACATACCCTATCGCCGGAGCAAGCATGTATTCCGAAACATTGGGTTCCCGATAATAATGACCTTGACATCCATATATTCTTTCCCTTATGTGTATCATGTTAGAAATGACATTCAAAGACGAGTATAAAATGTTCTATATTCTGATATTCTGGTACATCAGATTAAAGAAAAATGTCCCTAAGACAAGTATTCATTTCAAAGGAGGCAACATGTATAAACTGTATTTAGTAGAAGCAAAATTACATAAATCATAAATCAAATATTGTCTCTGTGTGGTTAATAATGCAAATCTATTTCCCTTCAGGGAATGTTAGATGACTACAATATTGTAGTTGAAGCAGTTACCTGTTGGACTCTTCTCCCTTGTAGTAGTCAGCAGCCTGCTCGTAGTTGGCGATGGCCTGACATAGAAACACCACACTCAAACACACAACCTTAGCTGATGGGGTCAGTCATCATCAATACTCCATGGGTTTGAATACACTACATCCTTCCATCATATAAGGGGCAGTGGGGTAGCCTAATGGTTAAAGCCTCCGCTCGTCACACTGAAGACCTGGCTTCGATTCCTCACATGGGTACAATGTGTGAAGCCCATTTCTGGTGTCCCCCACCATGATATTGCTGGAATATTGCTAAAACCAAACTCACTCACTCACTCCATCATATAGAATATAAGGTAACATTTCTCCACCAAAACAAGATTATAAGGTCACTCTGAAGTGTCATCTCCACTTCAACCAATTAATCAGGCCAAGGCCTGGCTCCAGCTTGTATCAATGAGTGCTGAGCTGACATGACTCACACAGCAATGTTCTAGGATGGTACTCAAGTGCCTTGTGACTTCCTGTCTACACATTGTTCTAATATCACGCACTGGAGGGTTCCCACAAAGTCTGGGAATGGAACAAGGCTCTTCTGACTTTCATAACTGAGGTCCTCAGTTCATTGACTGATTATATTTAGACATGTGTCACCACTACTCTGCATAGAGTGAGTGAGTGAGTGAGTGAGGTTTTACGCTGCTTTTAGCAATATCCCAGCAATATCATGGCAGGGACACAAAAAATGGGCAATGGGCTTCACACATTGCACCCATGTGGGGAATCGAACTCGGGTCTTCGGCGTGACAAGCCAATGCTATAACCGCTGGCCTACCCCACCGCCCCACAGTAGATAAGTATTTTATGGTGATGGAGGAATGTAGAGCACAAAACCCAACCAAGTTTTTGTTTGCAAGTACTTCCTCATTTCATTATAGAATCACAAGCAGTTGTTAAAGAGAAAAATACATGAAAACAATTTTACAGCGAATTACTCAGGAAAATGTAAAATACAGCATACCTAAAACTGATTTCAAACACAATGATCCATTTATCAACTCACTTGTTCAATATCAACTAGTTCAGTCTCGTAGATCTCCGCAATAGTAATATGGTGTTTGGCAGCAATTGTAAACCTTCCCTGCAAACAGACAGTCATAGGAACTCAAAACCATGATCCTATGATAACACTAAGTAACAGGATCACTATGAATGTTACATCAATATAAATGCAACCGACTACCCTTCATTCAATTATCACAGAATTCACATCATAATAAATAACATCACAAACATGATAAAGATTTTGATTAAATTCAAAAATATTTAAAAAAATATATAGCCACACTCCAAGCTGTAATTAACCTGAGTACTCAAAAGATATCAACATGATTAAGGAACACCTGATATATTTAGTGACTAAGGAACACCTGATATATTTAGTGACTAGTTAACGCCATGGCTGGTATGTCAACACAACCATCCAGTTGGTTTTTCTTTATCATATTTTCAGTATATGTTAAAAAGGACCATAATTTTCATTCATTCCGCCTAAAGGCAAACATACATGACAACCACATACTGTGTACACAGCATGTGAAACTGTATGACAACAGGTCAGTAAGGAAATCATGTGGTAAGCTTTCACTACTACTGTTCACACGGCAACATATTTACATGGTATTTTAAGAACAAAACAAAAAATCAATTTTCTGTCAAATGAATGTTTCTCATGTTGTGGCAGCTGCTGGGCTTCATTTCATGATGCAGTGATTAAAACCACCTGACATCTTTATCTAGTTACCATGGTTACCTATCATGTATTTGTACTTAAATGGATCAAAGTGAGCATGAACAACTAACAACATGTACATCACTGCATGGATCAAGCATAGTTCAAATATTAGTGGAAACTAAATGCTGATGATGTAAAGTCACAATTAACCACATCCTGAATATTCTATACTGAATGTATTCAACACAGGTAATCATTACCATACTTACTGTTACCACAAAATAAATATACATTCCATCCCATGAAAGGTCAAATAACTATAAGGTGTTGTCATGGTAACATTTTCTCACATGTCTACATGACTTTCAGTTGACTTCAATACTCACCATATCTGTGTAGATTGTTACTGCTTGATGTAAGCTTTTGATTGCCTCTGAAAGAAGGAAATACATTACAGTTGTCGGATTGAAAAATGACATTGAACTGACTATTTCACCGTCATGATTAGTGTGAAAAATATACATTTATAATATATGCTAACTTTGAGCAGGAATCAACTGCTTCCATATGGCAATATGTAAACATGTAGTGAGTGAGTTTAGTTTTACAGCCATATGGCGGTCGATAAATAATCGAGTCTGGACCAGACAATCCAGTGATCAACATGATGAGCATCAATCTACGCAACTGGGATACGATGGCATATCAACCAAGTCAGCGAGCCTGACCACCAGATCCTGTTAGTCGCCTCTTCTAACCAATTCGACCAATTCTAACCCAGATCTTCACAGGTCATAAACAAGTAGTAATGAGTGAGTGGACACTATGTCAGTTATATCACAGATTGTCAGATTGATTTCAGAGGGAAGCTCTATGTGATGCAGGTTTTACGTGTTCACCACTGTGGTGAGTGGGCATGGTTTTACACTCTATTAACAACAATCCAGCAACGCCACAATGTGGAACACCGGAACCGAGCTTCACACACTGTACCAATGTGGGGAATAAAACCCAGGCCTTTGGTTAAGGAGAAAACACTTAACCACCTGGCTCCCAACCAAACCCACTTTGGTTAAACTCATGGTCACATAATGTGGTGTTGACGAATCAAGGAACATAATGGGGTGAATATGAGATTCAAACTCTGCTCCTGTGGTTGAGGCAAGTAGGAATAAAGATGGCTACTGGGACATCTGTGACCCCTAAACCGAAAACAAGTGTTGGGTCATTAGCTTGGGTATATATCAATAATCATGACCAAAAATAACTTATAACATAAATAAGTTTCAGAAAACACAGTTCATACAGCCAAGACAAAGCAAGGGACACAAATACTGAACAAAACACGACAGTCATCACCTAAAAAGGGGTAACAAGTGTTTTTCATGTGAATAATGAGTCTTAAGGTATATAGTACAGCAAGTTCAGCCTTTGATGGACTATGATGATGGAATTGGTTGGTAATTATTTAATCCATTTGAGGTCTACATGCTTCTGCCAATGATGCTGGTGTGTGCTCTGTCTACACTGGTGATTACTCCCTAATAGTTCTGTAAAAACATCCTCCACAGATGAAATGTGTCACCATCATTTGGATATTGTTCTTCTGACAGTTCTCTCTCCAATTTACTATGTTCAACGGCAGCTGCATGGACAAATGTTGGAGTTAGCCTGTTCAGCTGGTGACACTTGATGATTTTGCCCACATTCAGGAAAAGAGAGAGGTGGTGGTGGAATTGGGTTTAACGTCGTGCTTGAGAATATTTCGCTCATATGACGACGCGCATGCGTGTGTATGTGTATGTGCGGCTGCTTGTACTAGCCCAACTTAAGCTGGTTTTATAGTGCTAGCCCACTGAGATACCATGCCGAAGTGAAGCATGAATACCCCACTCAGACACATTATACTGACTCCGAGCCAACCAGTCCTTGTTGTACCCATTAATGCCGAGCGCCAGGCAGGGACCAACAAGTACCACATTTTAACGTCTTGTGGTATGACGCTGTCGGGGATCGAACCCGCGACCTTCTGCACTCCGGGTGGACGCTCTAACCACTACACCACAGAGGCGGTCGGAAAAGAGAGTACCTCATCACATTGATACCTCCGAAACATGCTGTCTAGTGTGTATTTGGTTCAAATGCAGTCTGTAAGCATGTAAAGTATTGTATTTCTTTTTTTTGTACTAATACATGCAAATTGTTAATGGTGTTCAACCCATCCTTCATTACGCTCAGAACTTTGTTGGTACTGAAAAAGATAAGAATGCTGTTTTTGTGTACTGTAATATATACTTATGTGTAGATTGTATCTGCTCAGTGTCTATTCTCACCATTCGGATCCCCTTTCCTGTAACAGTTCCCAGCATCTACATAATGTGTAGCAGCTTCATGTTTGCTGCCGAGTTCTATCTGAAGTTGGCCTGCTCTGCAAAACGATTCCCCAGCAGCTGAAACAAACATTACAGATTTTTTACATTTAAGTCCATCTCACTATATGAGTGATTCTTGTATTATGTAATTACTGAGTAACTATTATTGAAAACATTTTCGTTTCACTGACTTCTGTACTAAGTTTGTTTACAACCACTTGATCTCTAAGCTGTGTACGTGGTGGCAAGTGTAACTGCAGCCTTGATAACTTTATTATTTAAATCTATATGGATCCCCATGGATTATACCTTTCAGAGGATCAGTTATGGCTCTGACTTTCCAAATCCTTTGACTGGCCGATTATTCGATCAGTTGCTAAAATGGTACTAGTTATTATTATGATTATAATATATTCAGAACTATCATGAGGAATCAACTAAGATTACCTGCCCACTTCTTGGCCATCTTGAAAGAATTTGCTGCACGCACATACAATTCTGCTGCTTCTTCTATCTTGCTTGAACCACTTACAAAAAGAGAATAAACAAATGACCTCCTTGTCATGATACTGAAACTACTAGTACTATCATCAAATCAAGGATCAACATGTTCAAGTTCATCAAGATAACAATTAACTAATTTACATAATAAATATTGTGGCCTGTGATGGGATTTGAATCAAAGACCTTCAGATCAGAGGTCGGATACCTTGTCAACAATAGCTGACAAGGCAAGGATGTCATCTGTGTGACCCTGTCAAAAGAGGCAATCCCAGGCAGCATAGTAGGGTACTGTAACTTATTTGGCTCAAATTTGATATGAACATGCTCAGTGACACATGCGATTTCCTGGTTCTGTGATAGGATTCAAATCATAGACCTACTGATCTGAGGTCGGGTGACTTGTCCATATGCCCAAAGAGATTAATCCCGTCAGCAAGCTAAGGTAGTTAATCTGGGGGATGACTCCCACCACAGAAAGGTATCAACGCTATTTTTGTTTATTCCTAACCACTGAATATATACAACTCAGAATACTAAAACTTACACCAGATTTTTCATATGACTATGACTAATTTGTCATGTCTGTGTAACTTTCTGTAGTGCTAGTGCTGACAACGGTCTGTTCAGCGGCATTTCGGTACCGTATGTGTCGATGACACCACGTCTATTATCACACAAATACAATGTAGTGATACGAAATCCGCGACAGTTCAGTTGACAAACAACGACACACGCAGACGTATATATCAGGAAAATCGTGATTAAATGACAGTTGACGATGTGACGAGATTTATTGCCTTACCCAAACAAATTCCCCAAGAAACCTTTGAGCCCCTTTCTGTTTCTTCTCCGCCTCCTGCATCAACATAATTCCTTTTTGTTCCGCGTCTCCCATCTTGGTTTCTCGACTGTTTGATTGTTTACCTTCTATATATCTTAATGTATCACAAATTTAATAATGTTCTATTTAGAGGCATAAATACATCGCGAAATTCACGTCACTTCCTTTACTCCCACCACACAGCGCCGTCTATGAAGATGGGGGGATAACTTTCTACTTCCGGTTTAGTTGAAGCATCGTAAAATCTCCATAGCCCGTTTATTATGGAGTGTCAGGCATGGACAAAGTCAGCTCCATTGTTATGCTGCAAATAACAGTTTGTCTTGACATGCATAATATACAGTGTCAGAGACGAAATATTATTTGAAAGTGATTTCATTTACCCAGATTATCTTGTAACACAACAACTACAAAACAAAGAACACGTTTTCCGATGTTTTCATCTTATACGAGCGCATCCGATAAGAATAAAACTGCGTGAGTGAGTATAGTTTTGTGCCGCTTTTAGTAATATTCCAGCACTATCATGGTGGGGTACATCAGAAATGGGCTTCACTCATTGCCCCCATATATGGAGTCGAACCCGGGTCTTCGTGACGAGCGAACACCTTAACGACTAGGCTACCTTACCCACCCTGTAAAACTGAGTATTAAGTTGTGGTTTTCGCCGCTTGTGGGCATATTTCAGCCGTATCCCCATAGAACTGGGGAACATCGGTGTCTTAGCAACAAGTGGCTAGGGAGCATTGGTTTCTTAGTAATAAGTTGCTGGGTAATATCGATCTCTTAGCAATAGATGATGACCGGTATATGAGGAAACGCTGCTTGGGAACATCTGTCTCTTAGCAATACGTTGATGGAGAACATCAGTGTCTAATCAACACTTTGCTTGGGAACATCTGTCTCTTAGCAATACGTTGATGGAGAACATCAGTGTCTAATCAACACTTTGCTTGGGAACATCTGTCTCTTAGCAATACGTTGATGGAGAACATCAGTGTCTAATCAACACTTTGCTTGGGAACATCGGTCTCTGGGCAACGCATTTCTGGGAACAACGGTATATAGCATGGAATTTCGGTGAATAGGCTCCACATTCTTGGGAAACATCGATCTGCGGTATACACTTTGCTGTGGAACAGTTTCAGCTAAAACAAAATTGAGATTAAAGAAATTATAGCCAAAATGAACAACATATTTTAGTGAAACACAGCGATAAATGAATTCTTTACCCATTTGTAATTTAAGAACATAAAACAAGCATGTGTTCAAACCACAACGTTAATTTAACTCACGTATACTATGTACCGGCTAGTAAAACCCAAGCCCTGATACACATCTGAAGTGTTATAAGCAGCGTCGAGCTTGACAGATCCGCAATGTTCGTAATTTCTCTTGTGTGAGATCCTAAGCTTAGAGATTTGTCCTTGTAAATTTCAGTTCCTCAATCTTACTGATTTAAAATTATCTATTATCAACGTTGAAATGGTTCCTGCACGTGACCGTATCCGCTAATCTTGCCTTAATTCTAGCATAGTTCATAAGCTACTACTAGAGCAGACAACAACACCCCCACCCCTTCTCCTTTTGTTGGTTTTGTCGACTTTGTAGACGTTTACCGCAAATCTGTTATGTTTAACCTGTCTGATTTGCCAGTATTGTCTCTTAGTAGTCAAATAGTTCTCTGGGTACAATGTGTGAAGCCAATTTCTGGTGTCCCCCGCCGTGATATTGCTGGAATATTGCTAAAAGCGGCATAAAACTAAACTCACTCACTCACTCATGCACCAAATGCCAGTGTTGGTTGTTAGGGCAGTCAGTTACTAGTGGATACGGTGTATCATGCAACTGTATCCTGTATCCTTTGCTTAGGACTGACAATGTACGACCCAAGTATATGGGTCTATTCTGTCTCAGACTGGGGGGAAGTGTATCAATGATGGTCAGCTAGATGCAGCTCTCCTAAGGACACAGATCCAGACAGGATAGGCAGGCATGTTGATATGACTTCATAACTACACGAGCAGAACAACTAACTCAGTGCCCCCTTCAGACAACCTGGTCACCAACTCCATTGTTGGAGTTTTAGATTCAGATTCAGTTTCAGTTTATTCGGTAATTCTGGCCTTCTCGGTGGGTTCGTTGTGTTGAGCCTTGTCTATGCCGCTATCATGATGCGGTTGGAATATTAAAATCAAATCTCATGACATATAGTACTAGAGAACGAAAACTGAATGCAAAACAATTCCAAGAAGTACAGAGATTTTCACAAAACTATTACCTACTCAAGTCGCGCAGTACAGCATCACAGTTGTTTTAGTTTTATGCTGGTCAAACATCTCCCACCCTATCATTATCCTTAACGAGACTCTTATGCTGGTCAAACATCTCCCACCCTATCATTATCCTTAACGAGACTCTTATGCTGGTCAAACATCTCCCAACCTATCATTATCCTTAACGAGACTCTTATGCTGGTCAAACATCTCCCACCCTATCATTATCCTTAACGAGACTCTTATGCTGGTCAAACATCTCCCACCCTATCATTATCCTTAACGAGACTCTTATGCTGGTCAAACATCTCCCACCCTATCATTATCCTTAACGAGACTCTTATGCTGGTCAAACATCTCCCACCCTATCATTATCCTTAACGAGACTCTTATGCTGGTCAAACATCTCCCACCCTATCATTATCCTTAACGAGACTCTTATGCTGGTCAAACATCTCCCACCCTATCATTATCCTTAACGAGACTCTCGTTCAAAGCAGTTCCAATATACATGCACGTTAAACCTTGGAATGGACGTGAGGTGCTCTTTCTCGTGTTTGAATTTCCAAAGAGTATTTTAAATGGGACTGCATTAGTCGATGTCACCTATGCAGTATGGGTCACGTAGAACAGCGCCACGGTGTCATCACCGCCTGTCCAGGTACCCTATCGATCGAGGGTGGATGTACCCGTGACTTCACTCCATGGTACACCATAACAAAATTTGCAAATTCAATATGGCGCCGGTGAGTGTCAGCTCGCCAACGTGCCTCGTCACACACTTGGTAAGATAAGCAGTTCTGTCAAACCCAACCGGTCTGAGACACCCGTGTTTGATCAATAGCCCGACTTACGGCTCGGGTTCGGTGTAAGCCCTCAGAGTGGATTTACTCAAGGAATCTCAGCACCATCTCCTGGCAGATCAGTTGTCGCCATGTCACGGGGGAAGGTTTTTCTGGCAAGCAAGACAGCATTAGCATACAGACATTAACTACATCAAAAACTTCAACACAAGAGTAATTCAAACTGACCCTGCGATCCCGCATTGTGAGTAAGTAGGCTGTGTTCCCTCCAAGAAATATGATATACAACGAACAATGGATGCATTCAAGTTTATAATGAACAGAACGAAAGGTGTGAACTAGTGACTAGAAGGCTCCATCGACTATGCATGTGGTAATCTGCAGTTGTCGTCTTTAGAGATTAACACTGAACCTAATTCGGTAACTAATCCCAATAACTTATTGAACAGACACAAGATTTGCATTGAGGTTGCAAAGTTTATCTGTATAAATCTCCTTACAGCATACATTGTCATTTTCGTGTATTTAGAAGGGGGAAGGCATTGTAATCGACGCGACTAGAACAATGCATTTTGTAACAGGAGATGAAACTCTTGTATGAGGGTCACGAGGACAATGTATCATTTTATACAGGGTTTTGCTAGGTGTTTACCACACCTGGTAACAGCAGCGTCCACACCTGTACAGCACACACCTCCGCGGTGCCCGTATAAGCAACGCGTCTCTGTACACAATAAGACATGACTCTGTAGGTTGTTCCCAATTTGGTATTGCTCGGCCGACCGGGTGATAAGGAAAACATGCCCGTGTTTTGTGGACCGTAAGAGACTACACAGTGTAGGTCTCCGCAGGACTATCGTGACGTGGTCTAGTAGTTAAAGCATTCTCTCGTCACGCCGAAGGCCCGGTTCGATTCCCCACTTGGGTGCAATGTGCGAAGCCCATTTCTGGTGTCCCCATGATATTGCTAGAATATTGCTAAAGGCGTAAAACTAAACTCACACACTCATTCCTCAGGACCATCAACCCCGAGAACGCTTAGAAGACAAGTGAGTGAATGAGTTTAGTTTTACGCCGCACTCAGCAATATTCCAGCTATATGGCGGCCGTCTGTAAATAATCGAGTCTGGACCAGACAATCCAGTGATCAACAACATGATCATCGATCAGCGCAATCGGGAACCGATTACACGTGTCAACCAAGTCAGCGAGCCTGACCACCCGATCCCGTTAGTCGCCTCTTACGACAAGCATAGTCGCCTTTTGTGGCAAGCATGGGTTGCTGAAGACCTATTCTACCCCGGATCTTCACGGGTCCTTTAAAGACAAGGGTAGACGACCGTCGATATGAAGATGCTGAACACAAAATATTTGTTGTGTGCGTCTAAAGTCGTTAAAATATGCCTACAACCCGAAACGGACGTGGGGCCGCCCCAGCCTGAGGTGCTATTAGTGCCTATGAAATATTGATGCAAAGGTCAAAATCAGGAAACGATGAAGTCAGATAACCTCACCACACATCAGAGAACCTCGCCACACATCAGAGAACCTCGCCACACATCAGAGAACCTCGCCACACATCAGAGAACCTCGCCACATATTCCCGTTAGTCGCCTCTTCACAATTTTGGGTTGGTGAAGACCAATTCTGACATCACAAGTTGCACCACAACTACAGTGTTGTAACATTATCTACATTATAATTAACCATTCAAATCAATGTTTCGTGTTTACATGCCTACAATTGTTCCAGTATCTGGCAACAAAAGTGTACATTTCAACTGGATTCCACCCAAAACTTATATACAAACCGTATCAGAACGTCTTTATTTTGAAAACATTTGCAGAAACACTGCAAAGATAAGGTCCAAAACATTGCCAAAGGAGTAGCCTAGGGGTTAAATTTTCTCTTCACACAGAAGACGGGGTTCGATTTCTCACATTGGTACATTCACTGAAGGTTACATCTAGTGATCCCATCTAGTCATCTAGTGATATTACTGCAGTATTGCTAGAAGCAGCGTAAACCATAATCAACTCTCCTCCATCAATATCCGTATTAAAGACATCACCATGACATAACCATTGTTTGCTTGTTTCATGTTATTT